AAACGAATCGAAATAATTCGAAAACAAACAAAAGTGCCAGAAGATAAAGATGATTTTATACCTTGTGGAAAGACTCCCCTCTCCTCAAGAGAGTATCCCCGTGTTTCCCCCTCCACCACCGCCCTCTGTGTATCTACAAGTAAGCAACGTCTGCGGGTAAACATTTTAAGCTGCCAGCCCGAAAAACGCTAATGGGTAAACACAGATGCGGTCGGAGACGCGACTTGAGCCCGGAGTCCGGAGCCCGGAGCCCGGCGATGGGAATATTGCGGAGGAGTCGCTTGACTCGTCTCTTGCGTTTCTGGCGCGTTTTAAAACGCGGAAAAACTTTCAAGGAAGTTGCCACTCGAGCTAAGTGCAAATCTTTCGATTAGCTAGTTAATCAACTCAATTGCGGAATTACTAGATTGGCTTTTCCGCGATAACCACCGAAACAGCAAAGAGCGGAGACGGGAGAGGGGAGAGGGGAGAGGGGAGAGGAGAGTAGAGAGGGAGAAAGCCCACATTTTTGATTTATTAATTGATTCAGGCTCCGTCTTCCTCCTGCCTCTGTTATCAAGATGTATTAACCTCTAATCATAGACGTTGATTTACCAGCCCGAAGTCCCATGCCTCAAGAACAGAGACCCCTGTTTGCCCTATAAATAAGCCATTACCAAGCCCCCAATCATATATTAGTAATAACAATTGCCATTTATCAATAATTTTGAAATCGCTTTATGTTTCTGCCTCTGCCTCTACCTCTCTCTCTCTGTCTCTCTCTCTGTATGTTTTTATTTGATTTGTGCCCTGCGATAAGTCCCTGTGGAGAAGGAAGAGCTGGTTGATTTCAGAGGCAGGGATAGACGGATAGAGCGGGTGCACAAAGAGGTCTCCTCCCAAGTATGACAAATCTCTGAGTGGCCAATTGTTTTCATATCTTTAGCTAATATTTTGTCATAGCTTCGGCAGATTGCGCAATTTCTGGTTAAACTTTTCTGATTCAATTACATATAATGAAACTGATATCTCGTTAGTTCTGACGCGTAAGTTCCTTATAGACATGCTGTCGTCACCCCCTCAACCAAATTGATTGTGATTGTGATACATTTTCAGGTGACAAGGTTAATTTTCATGAACTTCTTCCGGTAGGTGTTTGTCATTTTCAGGCAGGAAGTAATAGGTTATGGGGTGCCATAAATCCGCATTCAATTCTTACTCACATTGAAAATTCGCTTTGATATTAGTCACAGGTACCAGCACCTGTCTCTCTCTCTCTCTCTCTCGCTTTCTCTTTATATAGACTCAATATAAAACTCATTAAAGGCAGGCTTCATTGTGTCTGCCCCACCCTTCCTCTTGTGGCGGCAGGCACAACAAAGCGAAATTGAAATGTAAACCGACTAAAAGCCCCCTGGACAACCCTCTTGCGAAGTTATATTGACTCAAAACGGAAGCCGCTCAACAGTGGCTAATGGTCATAATTAAACGTGGCATATTTGCATAACTTAAGTATGGTGAACGAAGTGGGTTGTGGTGCTATGTCTGGCTGAGGTGAGTGCTGATGAGTGGTGGAGGTGTAAAGTAAACTTGAAACGATCCAGTCAAAGATCTGCTACTCCATCTGGTAGCTACCCGAATTACCTATTTTATTTATTTTAAAAATCCTCAACATGCGCTGCACCCAACGAGCAAGAAGCATTGCATTGGGTCTTAATTTACAACTAATTGTCATATGACCGACTAGTTATGGCAATCAGAGCGACTTAGTTATATGATAGGGGTGTCTGCAGGTCTGCAGCGCAAATGCAATATGTAATATATTAAATCAGTGGGCTTTACCGACCATGTCTGGCCATGGGGGTGAAGGAAGCAGCACCTCTGGGCGATCGCTCGTCTAATTGAATGCTAAATGTACTTAAATATCTTTATAATTGACGCCACAGTGGGGGTGTCGTAAAAGCACGTACACAGACAGAGCACCGCGTAACACTAGTAGGTTTCTTTGAGAAGGGGGGCCTTAGGAGTGAAGACATCGAACGAATCCCCCCAATCATACGATCATACAATCATACAATCATACAATCATACAATCACACAATCACTCACTAGCCATCCCGCCAGCCATCAGCAACCACCCGCAATAAAAGGTATTTATGTTATTTGTCAAGTTTATCGCTCACGATAGTTCACGAGGGAGTTTGGTTGGGTTGGGTGGTGTGGTGTGGTGTGGTGTGGGGTTCGTTGTGGTTCCTAATTAAACCAGGGGCTTTATCGTCTTGTAGCGATCGAAATTATTGCCACCTGTGCAACTGTGCAACGCCTATGCTCTTTTATGACCCTCATTTTCAAATACCAGTAGCCGTAGCCCCATTATAATCCTTCTTCATATGTAGGTAGGTGTATACAGATATGGGATACTATAAAGAGAATCTCAACCTATTGCTTGTTTATTTTTCAATTCTATCTTTTGATTTGTGGAGACCGATAGCTATAACAGGGGTGGGTGGGCTCGAACGTGTGTCTAATGATCAGTTAAAGATCATTCAACTCCTCCCTAATGGAACGGGGGGTGCCTGAACGATCTTTAAGCACTCGAGGGAATGCTGAGAAATTGGTTGTGTTGTCCAGTGTGTAGCAGCCAAGAGATAAAGGGGCGTTGAAGCCGAGCCGCCTAAAGTGATTGTGATTGAAATGCAATACCCAAAGTCAGCAAACAGAAAGACAGAGATGTTCAGAAAGCACCGAAAGCAGCAGCAAACACAAACATCCGATAAGGCGGAGAAGAGGCATCTACGAGCCACATCAAACAGAAGCCAAATGAGCTTGTCGTGCCGGAAACTGTTCGGCGGTTGCCAGGTTCGATGTTTCGATGGTTCGACGGCGTCTTCAATCAAAGCCCAGTACTGAGTGCCTCCGGAGGTCGCTTGAGCTGCAACTGTAGGGCTGCTATGAGGAGGAGCCGATCAAAAGGTCCGCGCACGAGCGGATGCCCTCTGATCGCCGCATCGTCCAAACGTCTGTGGGTCAAACAAACGGACGAGTAAGTCGCGGAAGGTGCCTTAATCCAAAGTGGCTACTGAGTTGCCTGCCAGCTCCAGGTAGGAGATGCGTATAGAGTACTCCCGAGTACTGCATTCTGCAGGAGGGGGCAAACACTTCCACTGGCATTCTGTTGGTCAACAAACACTTGTCGGCTACTGATCTCTTCTGGCCAATCTCTTCTGGCCGCGGCTACTCATTCCATCAATCTCTGCTGTCAATCTCCTGCGGCAAATAAACTCGAGTGCCTCCCATGCAAATACTCAATATTTGCTCTTGGATTATTAAGTGAGCAGCATCCCATTCCCATTCTCAAGCCCAGTTCTCAGCTCCCATCAGGTGTTCTTCTCCTCCCCATTCACCTGCTTTTTCTCTCTTCCCTATAAACTGTTTGTTTGGGCCTGTTTAATCGCTTTAATGTATATGGTATTTATAGCTGTTTAATTTTGAATTGTTTTTTGGAACCAGATAATGAATATAAATGTTTACCACAAATTCGAATTTTCAATGACTCAATATATTAGAGATGATACTTCATTTACCGCGAAACGCAATGCAACAAAAGCTGACTGCTATGCAGAAATAATTTTTGCAATAAGCATTTTGCAATTTGAGGGCGAATGTGAACCCCACCGATTACAATGGTAAAGTTCTTAATCCACAAAATGTGCATCGCCTGCATCCTCATACTACAAGGCAAGAAAGAGTGGTCTTTTCGTTCCAATTTATACGTTTTCCCTTGGTTTATTTTCATTTTAAGGAATCCATTTCATGGAAATGTGTACTTCTGACCATTTACATTATGATAAATACGAAAATTATATTGTTTCTTTTCAAAAATCCTTGTGCGCCGCCAGCCAACTGCCTGTGGGAGATCCGGCATGTACAGAGCTAACATTTATAAAATGTTATTTAAACAGGAAAAACTACTCTGATCGCCACGCCGGAATGTGGCCAGCGGTGCGCTTATAAACTAAATCAATTGCAGGTGGAGGACGACACAAATGGAACCGCACACGCGGTGAAGCTAAGCAAACCTGCGGCCCAAAGTGCCGCCGTGGCCAAATGTTTTGATGTTGTTCGACTTTTACTCCTTCGAGGCCATGTGTCCAACCAAGTTGCTGGTGATCTTTTCGATTTTCTTCAGATCGGGCATGTTTTCCGCTTTGTACTGTACGCACTGCAACAATGATTGTTAAGTTTATTTTGTTAATTTCTTGCCAGCCCAGCGAAAGTCGTGTTCGCTTGATCGTCTTCTTCTTCTCGTACGAACCTTTACATTGTCCGTCATTTTCAGCAGTATGTGGCCCTTGGAATGAATGTATTTCATTGTGTAGCGGCAGTTTTGTGGATTCGCCATATACATGTTCTCGGCGGCAATCTCAAAGTCCTCCCAATTCTTGACAAAAACCATTTTTTTTATTCAAGAGCACACGAAATGAGGGAGCGAATAACAACAACAATGGAACTAGTGATGTTACAAATATATTGCCATATAGGAATATATCGTTGTATTACAAATATTGCTATCGGTTGGGGGACTTTCAGCACTAGATAGTCGTATAATTTTTTCATTCAATTTCGTCGTTGACTGCAATACAGGGTGACCATATAAGGTATATTATATACATTTCAGTTTTGACTACGAAATTGTAATATTATTTTATGGAAACAGGGGATTACAAATGCCCATTCTATACTACACCAACCGGTTGACAAGCAACAAATTGTCAAATACCAGGCAATCCATTCCCACTCACGTAACGTCTTTTGATATTTTTTTGTATTGATCTTTTTAGATATAAACTTCATTTGGAAACAAATCCAATAAAAATAAGTCAAAAACACTAGCCAGACTTGATTGATAAATCGGAAAAAAATATATTTTTTATATATTTAAGAGGTATATTTTGGTATATTTTTGAGAGTTTTGTGGTATATATTATCGATAATTCTCCGGCCACACTATTTGCAATATTTATTGAAAATAGTGCTAAATTCGTACAATTTTTTCACGAAAATTCGTTGCTGGCTGCAATATTTATTGCAAATATGCGATAAAAATCTACAGTTTAGCTAAATATAGCGCGTAGTAATACTCATCACCTGGTCGGGCAGGCCTGTGCAGTGAAATTCGGTCGAAACACTAACGAAAATGCAACGAAAAACGTAGACGAAAAAAATGAAATCTAGTCAAGAAAACCATGTAAATGGATGGGGAAGAGACGAGGCTACAACAACAACCACTGCAAGACCAAAACGAAAAACGCAAAAACAGTGACACGCAGAACGCAGGCAGCAAATACAACAACAAAATATATTAAATATAGTATTAAGGGAGATCAAATCAAACAGAAATAGAGAACAACAAAAGCGAGCATTCAAATCAAGTGTGACCCTCTCTCTCGCACTCGCTCCCCTCTCTGTCTCCCTTGAATGTGTGAGTGAGTGGGTCGGTTGCAGCCCACACACAATTACACCCACACGCAGTACCGTAGCATAGTTGCTGTTTTTGTTGTTTGTGGGGTTGAAAAGCTATTGCCTGCATAACGGTTAACGCGTGACGTGAGATCCCACACAAAAACAGTAAGGGTGTCCACCTCCCACCTATCTCTTAACCCCCTTCGACGAGGCTCAGACCTCGGAAGGCCCCCCCGCTCTCAAAATGATGGACAACGACGATGCGCTACTCAACAACGGAGGTCCGCAGTCGGGAGCGGAGACCGTCTACGGCACGGAGGACAACAATATGGTCATGTCGGAGAAGGTAAATATATGTACATTCATATGTACATCCAAAAATGATATCATTTGTTCAGGGAATCTCTGTTAATGTAAATGATTCATGCGGGTTCCAGGGTCCCCTCCACTGATTTTCCCTTAACTTTGATAAGACTCTCTTCTGGGACTCTGTGTATAATCATTTCTTGTATTTCGATTCTGGTCTCTCCACAAACAAGCGAAAGATAATGAGGCTATAAAAGTGTCCAAGCGGAAACATGCTCTCCTCTACAGTTATCTCTCTGTCTCTGTATGTGGATACCCACTCATTATGTAAAAACGCATCTCAGAATTGTTTATCATGCATCAGCTGACGGACTAATGCCACTGGGGGTCGTTATGCCTCTACATTTGTGGTCATTGACATTCAAACTGAAGAAAAGCAGAAAGAGAGAGTAAGAGAGCGTGCAAGAAGTTCAGGAGAGCGAGGAAGAGAGAGCCTTAGCCGGGAGCAGAAATCAATAAAGTCAGTCAGTCAGTCAGCGGCGGCCCTCAAATTTGATGACCGCCTCACGCAATCCCATGCCAACCCACCAACCCACTCATGCCGCTCCTCAACCTTTCCAACAGAGTTTATTTTTATTCGATTTTCACCCCAATTCCCCGATTGATTTTGCACTTTATCAGCTTCACAAGCATTACCTTTAATCGACGTGTGCCATGCAAATTTAAGCTGTCCCTCCCTTCCTTCCGCCCTCCCTGACAATCACTCTCTACAACTGCCTCTCTCTTTTACAATGAGCTCATTCAGTCAGTCAGTCAGTTTTTCGAGCACATGTTCTCCACCTGATAAGCCCCCGCCACTTGTACGCGGACCATTCGTAACTCTCTGCTAATTGAGTAATGAGGAGGAGGAGTGTTGGTTGCCAGCAACTTCAAGCGACAGAAACTCGTTTCTTAGGCCAACAATAGCGAACACGAAGAGTTTTTAAAAACGGGTCTCACCAAAAAAGTTTATAAATACTTGAGCATGACGATAGCTATGAGTAGTTGGCCTTATAAGTGGGGTCTAAGTAGCCTTGGCCTAACAGCGGAGTTTCGGAAGCAAAGGCAACTTATTTTTCATGAGGCAAAGAAGTATATGGCAGAATATTACCCGAATAATATAAATATATCGATAAGCATTACAGACATTCAATCATCCAATTTTATTGTATATATTTAATCAATTTAAATTTCGTAAAATGGTTTGTTTCTCCTGTATCTAATATCATTTCCCAGTCATGTACTAAACTTTTACTTTGGGTTTTCCCTCAATTTTAATTTAATTAGTCATTTAAAAATATAGTTGAAGTTATGGTTTTTTATGTGTACCTTACACCTTGTTTTTTTGTTCTTTTCTTTCTCTTTCAGAATGATCAGGTTGTCAGCATCGTGAGTTATCCTACATTTTTAGTTTCTCACTATTCTTCCGTTTCACTTAATCAGTTTTTCACATTCCCTCGATTCGTATAAAATATGTATAAAAAAATGCACGCTAGATAATATTCTAATAATAATTTTAATTTCTGTTTCCTTTATATTTTATTCTTTAACTACATTTGTGAGGGGGAGTTTTCTCTTAAGTCAAGTTTTCCACTTAATGCTTTAATTACAGTGGGGCTTTTCGTGGTGTTCTCATTAGGTCATATTTCAAGAGCTTTCCATTCATACGAGCGAAAAGCATTAAAAGCAAGCTCCCCCAACTATCATTCCGTTGAAACTTGTGCTACTTTTAAAGAATAAAAGGATTCCGACCATCTAACATCAGGATCAATATACCCGTCTGTTTATTCATAGAAATACAGATGGTACCCCTTTCTTTGCACCCTACTAATCAATAGATTGCACCGTTCGTGTTCGCTTTTACTCACTCCCAAAACCCACATAAAGAAATCAATTGTGACTGATGCACCCGTCCTCTATTCTCTCTCTGTCACGTGCCTCCTTGCAGGTCCAGCAACTGGCGGGGAGCATTTATCAGGAGTTTGAGCGGATGATCAATCGCTACGATGAGGACGTGGTGAAGAACCTGATGCCGCTGCTGGTGAACGTGCTGGAGTGCCTGGACGCCTCTTATCGCATCAATCAGGAGCAGGATGTCGAAGTGGAGCTGCTGCGCGAGGACAACGAGCAGCTGGTGACGCAGTATGAACGGGAGAAGAGCGCCCGCAAACAGTCCGAACAGAAGGTGAGTTGAAAGGTGGGAATCAAAGGCCAATAATATATTCTCATCCTGTCCCCTGCAGCTACTGGAGGCTGAGGACCTGGCCGAGCAGGAGAACAAGGAGTTGGCCACCCGACTCGAGTCCGTGGAGAGCATTGTGCGGATGCTGGAGTTGAAGCACAAGAACAGCCTGGATCATGCCAGTCGCCTTGAGGAGCGGGAGACGGATCTCAAGAAGGTGAGTGGAATGGGAGGTGAAAGCTAAAAATCAATCCACTGACATGTCTGATGTTTCCAGGAGTACAACAAACTGCACGAAAGGTACACGGAGCTATTCAAGAACCACGTGGACTACATGGAACGCACCAAGATGCTGATGGGCTCCACGCACTCACAAATGAGCACCGCCTCTGACCGGATGGAAGTGAGCCGTGCGCGCCTTAATCCCGTGGCCCGCAGCTCTGGTCCCGTCTCCTATGGCTTCGCTTCGCTGGAGAATTCCGTCATGCTGGACACCGAGACCATCTGCAGCGTGGGCAGCCAGTCGGACGACTCGGGTCCGCCGTCACTGCAGAATGAGCTGGACATGAGCCTGCCCAGCACTGCGGAGCGGGGCGCCGGCACCGATTCGCTGCAGCAGCAGCATCAGGCCACCTCGCCCCAGAGCCCCCCCGACATCAGTCCCGTTGTGCCAAATGTGCCTCCTGCAAATGGTAAGTCGCCCCGCCTAGAAAGCTTCTTTGCCACTCTGCCACTTAAACACCGTACTAATGTGTCTACTCTTTACTCTCTTTTGATTTTTTTTGATTTGTGTGTTAACTCGACTAAAACCCAAACCGAACCCCCAATGCTACCCCATCCTGTGCGTTCGTTAGTTGGTCGCTCGACCACCAAAAAGGAGCAGCGCTCGGACAATAATCTCTACCAAGAACTGTCCTTCCAGGACAATGAGGAGAGCGAAGAGAATGAGATTGTAACAGGTGAGAGCGGAGAGTCGAATGCTCGATTGGAGAGGCGATTTCTTTCATGTGTCTAGGGTTTCGGGATAACTTTCTTTAATTTCCTCTTCCCAGCATTACTAAATGTCAGTTTTCCTGTTTCCTTTTTCATTTACACTACCACTACACTCGTGTGAAACACGCATCCTCTTTCTGCGGCGGAACGAACTCCTCTCCGTAAAGGCTGCTGGGTACATCCCGGAGAGTACGCATCCTCAGGTAGGTACCACCACCACCACCACACCCAAACCCCAGACCATCCACAGCCAGAGCAAGTAGAAGTGCAAGAAACTGCATCACAAGCAAAGCCACAGCCATGTGACTCCTACATATATGGTTTCATCTATATAACCTGTAAATACATCAAATATCATGCAAGAATCGACTGAAAGCTAAGGATCTTCTGCTCTAGCTAGAGTTCTTTGTGTGTGTTTTCTTCTTTGTGATGTATGTTGCAAATTATTCGATCCGTACCATGTGCTCGAGAATGTGTGTCCCATCCATTAAGCAAGCGGAAAAAAAAACTTGACATTATTTGAGACAAATAAAAAACTGTATAATCCGAATCCGAATCTAATAAAATTTCTCTTTCTTTTATGCCGAATTCTACTTATCCCCACCACAAATCATTTTGTATATCCTCCCACCACCAAACCCCACACAAATAATTGTAAATTCGAATCCCTGAAGCAAACGACAACTATTTCGGTAAGTCTGAAGAAGCTGCAGAGATCGTGCTAGATCCGATCAATAATAGTAAATTCTATAGATCTCCTAACTTTTCCCTCCATTTACTCTTTTGCTTCTATCGTAAGTAGTTATCGTAGAATCATCATTGGCATTCGGCTCTAGTGTAAATTTTCCAATTCTTTTGGTGTTTGTTTTCGGTTTTAGGACATTGGCTAAAGAATTCTCACGTTCTCCTCTTGGTTTATTAGCCATAATTATATCATAATTGGTTTTAGTTTTCCATATCCTTTCTCTTAAGTTTTAGTTTCGGTTTTCTGTCTCCAATTTATCATTCACACTTGAGTTCCACTTTGGGAAGCTCTCCCAATGCTTTCATCTTTTCTGTCTCTTAATGGATCTATGAGCTATGTCTTTATCTCTATTCTAATGATTCTTTCATACACATTGCAGGCATGGGCAAGGAAGTGGAAAATCTAATCATGGAGAACAATGAGTTGCTGGCAACCAAGTAAATATCTCACTCTCTCTCCCTTGCTCGCCAAATCAATAATCTCATGCAATCCCATCCTCACTCTGCCTCAATAGGAATGCCTTGAACATTGTCAAGGATGATCTGATCGTCAAAGTGGATGAGCTGACGGGCGAAGTGGAAATTGTGCGGGAGGAGCTGAGTGCCATGCAGCAGTCGAGGACGAAGCTCAGGCAGCGCATCAGCGAGCTGGAGGAGGAGCTCAAGAAGACCAAAGAGCAGGTGAAGCAACAAAGTAAGTCAATCCCTCCAGCAGCTGGAAGCCACAATTTCTCACGTAATTCTCGTTTTGCAGACACCGAACAGGAGGAGAATGATGTGCCGCTGGCACAGCGCAAGCGTTTCACTCGCGTGGAAATGGCCATGGTCCTCATGGAGCGCAACCAGTACAAGGAGCGTCTGATGGAGCTGCAGGAGGCGGTGCGTCTCACAGAGATACTGCGCGCCTCGCGCACCGTCGACAATTTGGACAAGAAATCGAAGCAAAGCATCTGGAAGTACTTTAGTAATCTATTTACGTGAGTTTCCAACACAATCCACAAACCAAGACCCTGAAATCATTTTATGAATGTCTCTTTTTTGTGACAGCCCCTCCAATCGCCCGACGGAACGCATTGCCGACGGGCTGGGAGGGGGGCCGATGTTTCGTCACACCGGGGGAGGAAGCCCAGCCCACAGCCACGGATCCCCAAGCCGTGGAAGTGGGGACAATCGCCTTGCCTTAGCCGGCTCCCAGCCGCCCATGCATCCCGCGAGCGCAGGGCTTGCCAATGCTTTAGTGATGCCCAAGGACTACTCTGAGGACGGGGGATCGGAGCGCATCAGTGCGAGGAGGCGGGAACAGTACCGCCAGCTGCGCGCCCATGTCCAGAAGGAGGACGGACGGCTGCACGCGTATGGCTGGAGTTTGCCCATTAACAAGACAAACCAGGAGGCCAATCCCAGCCGGCACTCGGGAGGAGTGCCGGTGCCCGTCTACTGTAATCCCCTAGCCGAGGCCTCGCCCCACATGAAGGTATTCTGCGCGGCGGGCGTTAATCTACACGGGGGCTTCACCAAAGACGGCCAATCGTTGATACCCGCTGACTCGCCCTACGCCCCCAAGTCCACGCTTGAAATCACAGAGATCACGAGCCCCACTGCGGGGCAGAGCGTCGAGGCGCTGGACAGACAGATAGCCCGCGCTAGCTTGGAGACCCTGGAGCCTGAGACGCAGCTCAGCTCGTTCGTGTGGATCTGCACGAGCACCCACGCGGCCAGCACGGTCAGCGTGGTGGATGCCAACCAGTCGGCCACCGTTCTGGATGCCTTCCCAATCTGTTCCTCCCACTTGCTCTGCATCGCCTCCGTACAGGGAGCCATGGAGAGCGACTACGCGCTACTGGAGCAGTCGGAGGTGGTCAAGGCGGGCGAGATGCTGCAGCGGCCCGGCGAGGGCACAGAGCTGCTCGGCAAAGTGGAGTTTGTGCGCGTGAAGCCCAAGTCCGAGGACGAGCAGAACAGTAACAGCAAACTCCAGCAGCAGCAGCAGGACGAAGAGGAAGCCAAGGAGGCCACTGAGAAATCAAATGAGCCACTTCCGCCCGGAAATCCTGAGGAGCCGCTCGTCAATGTGGAGGCCATCAAGATACGCCAGGCCCTGCCCGGCGCCCCACAGCGCCTCTCCAGCGGTAACAGCAGCGACGGGAATCCGACGAACAACAACAACAGCAACGTTCTCTTTGGCACCAAGTCGCTCAACCCCATTCTGGGGACGAAGGAACGCGAGGATCCGCCCATGAGTTCGGTGGGACCGACCATGTGGATGGGGGCACAAGATGGCTGGCTGTACGTCCACAGCGGGGTGGGGCGGTGGCACGAGTGCCTACACCGCGTTCTCTTGCCGGATGCCGTCCTGGCGATTGTGCATGTGGAGGCGAGGGTTGTTGTGGCGCTCGCCAATGCCCAGTTGGCCGTGTTCCGCCGCCAGACAGACGGCCAATGGGATCTGAATAGTTATCACCTGGTGACGCTCGGTGATCGCAATCATTCGATACGTTGCCTCTGTGTGGCCAGCGAGCGCATTTGGGCGGCGCATCGCAACAAGATCTTCATTGTGGACCCCATATCGCTCAATATTGTGCACTCGCTGGACGCGCATCCGCGCAAGGAGAGCCAGGTGAGGCAGATGGCGGCCACAGGTGCCGGTGTCTGGGTATCCATCCGGTAAGAATCAGAATCCCACAACATATGCAGGGCTGAATGATTTTTCCGATTCTTTCCCCTCAGATTGGACTCCACGCTCCGTCTGTATAACACGCATACGTTTGAGCACAAGCAGGACGTGGACATTGAGCCGTACGTGTCCAAAATGCTCGGCACTGGCAAACTGGGCTTCAGCTTTGTCCGCATCACCGCTCTGATGGTGTCCTGCAACCGCCTGTGGATCGGGACCAGCAACGGCGTGATCATCTCAGTGCCATTGGCCGAGGTGCAGCAGAAGACATCATGTGAGAGGAGGAGAAGATAATATTCCCGTGAAGACAAACCAAATCCTAAACTCCCATCTCTTTCTCCGTTTCAGCCGATCCTCACGGCCAGATGCCGTTGTGCTGCATGGCCAATGCTCAACTCTCCTTCCACGGCCACCGCGATGCTGTCAAGTTCTTTGTGTCCGTGCCGATGCTGCAGCAGCCGAATCTAAACGGCGGACTGACCTTTGTGAACAAGCGACCCGATATGCTGGTCATGTGCGGAGGCGAGGGCTACATCGATTTTCGCATAAGTAAGTCCGGCACTCCCCCTGCAGATCAGGACTTGGCATCCAAGCTATTGCTGGAACGCAGCCTGGATGGAGCCCAAGAGCAACCAACAGCCATACATAAGAATAACCATTCCATATTCCATATCCTCCCATCTGCAGGACATGATAAGTTCGATGCTAGCGATAATGCAGCGCATTTGATAGTTTGGAAAGTCGATACGTAAGCCTTACTTTATTCTTTCGTTTTCTATGATTTTCATTTTGATTGATTCTATGATTGAATGTTTTGTTTTGTTTTGCTCTTACTTTCTCTCCTTTTATCTTTATACTTTTTTTGTTTACGTCTTTGCTTTGATTGATTTCTGTTCTTACTTTCTTTTAATCCGATTTATTTGTGCATTCTCGGCCTCCGCCCGTAGTACCTTCAACTTGTAGTCCGCCCACCCAGGGATAAGGGGATGAGCTTATCCTCCCCCTCCGTGTACTCCGGTATCAAGTGGAATGCAGCATTTGTCTCAGCCGTGACCTGAACCTAAGCAAGTTTCCTTTATATTTGGTTCATGTTTATGAATGTACCATTACATTTTGAAGCTATGAAACGTACTGTATCACATGCTACGAGCACTTCCACACCTGTCCTTTGTCCTTGCACATGCAGCAACCTGGATGTTGTTCCTCCACAAATTCTGGCCTTATTGGTGTACCGTGTCCCCCTGTCCTTTGAGCACTTTTAATCGGTTCGGATATTTTTGTACATTTGTTTAAGCTTTGAATTATTTACTCATTACTCAATTTAATATTCTTTCCAAATGCAAAAAGACTACAAACTTTCTACAAACTACCAAAGAACGTGGACGCACCTCTAACTAAAATCAAGGAATACCCAACTGATTTTGGCCTTGCAAATGAATATACAATCCCCAAATGCAAATAATTCATCCCATAGTAGTTTTGAACTCACCTCTCTTTTATAAACACCTTCCACACATCCTTTAATGCTCTGACAACTATATGTTTTGCAGATGATAATGACATGGAGAACAGTATTCAACTGGAACCAAACCAAACGATCGAGAATCGAGGCGACAAGAGCTACTTGATTGTGTGGCATGTTAGTCAACGTTGAGGCCGATCGATCAGATTCTTCGGCTGAAACGAGAAGTGCAAATGATACATTATAATATATATTTATAGCAGTTACGAGTACTATCTAAATACGCATATTGTATAATCTACTTTATTGTGCAGGCTAGCGAAAGGAATACCCTTAAATCTTAGTATTTATCTAACAATACCCCAAAATCCACACGATGACAAAACACCAACTAACTCTTAATTTACTCTTAATTTAAGTTTAACAAAAACATGTTTCGAGCTTTCGAGGGGCTCTCACAATTGTTTCTAATTGCTTCATTCAAACCAAAAAAAAAGAACAAAGCAAAACAAAATGGAAACCTGCGTGTTAGGTTATTCGTCAGTGATAGCCAGCTAAATATTAAAACTATGTTTACATAGATATATATTCATGGTAGTAAGATTTAAAATTGTACATTTTACGCGCTCTGCAGGGAGACAACAAACAGACACAAAACACCACATTTACTTTACGAGAGCTACTCGTAGGAGGATATGACATAGGAAGTTGAATGGATGGATATATTGAGAAAATGCGCCTGCCTCTTCAGGGGGATATTTCTACGTGATTTTTGTTCCAAATATGTTTCTTTTGTATCTTTATTGGTTTTATTGTGAAGCAAGGAAGGCGTCGCGACATTTACACATAGTTATTTTGTTAAATAATTTTAATATTTAGTTGAAACGTTCAAGCCTTAATTTTGATTGTTATTCATTTGTTTGTAAGAGGCCTATGTTTCAACAATAAAACGAAAACCAGACCAAAATGCTTGCTTTTCCCCAATACCAAAAAAAACATCAGATTAATTAATTACTCAGTTTTGTATGTTTTCCGAAGGTTTACAAAGGCGCGAGGAAAGTGATATTTATGTTTTTATGGAACTTTTTTAATATTTCAAGGTGCGCATTGGCTTGGCTTGGCTCGACTCGATGCGATTCAGAAAATAGTAAACAAATAAAATTAAATTATATTTGCCGTCATTCGCCAGTCCTTTCCATTCTGTTCCCAATGTCCCAAAGTCGCTGCCAACATGTTGGACACCATATCCATACCATATGTTGAACACGCAGGCAACAATTCTGGTACCAGGTCAAACATGTTGGCAGCGATTGTGCGACCTCACCTCAGTTCGCTCTGCCAGAGGTGACGATTTGTTAGTGGTATCGATGTTTACAGCTATCGATTCTTTGCCATCTCTACTACAAGACTTTTTGTGTATATTATATACTTTTTAGGATATTTTGAGTTCGGAATTGAGGGTTGACTTGATTTAATGAATTTCACCCGTCTATTAAATTTATGTAATTTAATTTACCTATGTATTTTACAGTTGGCAACATAATTTGTGTGGGCCAGCAGCAGGCTACGAAAAGTGAGCATTTATTTATATTTACAGTATATTTGGAAAATGCAAGGGCATATTTCCGAGGGTATGTCTGTATATTTGATCGATAATTCCGCGGTCGCACTGGTCAGCTGTTTAATGGAAATCTAAGTATTATTTACGATCCTAAACCTCACACAAACCCCCACATGGATTTTGATGGCCACCTTGAACGAGACCTTTCGCTCACACTGGCTCATCTCCATCTTCGGACTAATCCTGTTCGTCGCAGGCACCGTCGTCCTCTACTGGAATGAGGGCCGTGCGGTTCACACAATGATGGCTCTGGATGAGGCGTACGATGACATCTACTCCATCCAATTCACGGAGGAGGAGCAGGACCAGAACTTCGACGGCCGCATTGTGCACATCTCGGGACCCATTCTGGTGGGGGAACCCCTCACCGAGCCCGACTACAACATCCAGCTGATGGCCGTCAAGTTGCGGAGGCGCGTGCAAATGTATCAGTGGGTGGAGGAGTCGATGTGAGTTAGCAAACCTTCCAAACGGCATTCCCATGACTAAATCAACCCCCTCACGCAGCGAGCACAACTATGGCGAGAGTGTGGGAACGGAGCAGTCTGATTCGCGCACCTACTACTACACCAGGGAATGGCGGGACAAGATCGTAGACTCGCGAAACTTCTACAATCGCCACGGCCACACGAACCCCACGCACTTTCCCATCGAGAGCAACGTGCAGGTGGCCGACGCCGTGTACATTGGCAGATATGAGCTCGGGTCAGAGCTGAAGAACAAGTTCCAGGAGTACCAGGAGCTGACGTCGGACATTCGGCCGGAGGACAGCAGCATCAAGCTCCACCTGGGTCTCTACTATCACACCAACGACGTGTTCAATCCGGTGGTGGGCGACCTGCGTATCCTCTTCAGCTTCGCGGCCATGGAGGGGGAGACGTACAGCGTGGTGGGCAAGATGGAGGCCAACAAGCTGGTTCCCTACGTCACCTCTCGTGGCGTGCGTGTGCTGCTGGTATATCCGGGCGCCTTGACTGTACACGAGGTGTTCAAGCTCGAGTCTCGCTCCCAGGTGCTGCACACCTGGTGGTGGCGCTTCATTGGCTGGCTGCTCATCTTCTTCGGCGTCAGCTGCAACTCCAAGCTTCTCCGTTTGCTGTGTGAGTCTTGTCACAACTATTTCTTGCGCGTCCTCTCATAGTCTTCCTTGTGCATCCCGTGCCATTTCAGTTCTGCGTATTCCGCTCCTCATCTGCCTGGCGCCTGATCCGCAGTTCCCGATGACCGGAAACTTTGTCATCGCCTTCTCGCTGGCGCTCATCAATGCGTCCGTGGCCTGGATCCTGCATCGACCTCTCATCGGAGCCTGCCTCTTCCTGGCCGGTGCCTCGCCCTACCTCTGGTTCACCCGCAGCCTGGTGGACTACCATCGCCTGGATTGACTCCATATCCGATTTCCGAATTGTTTCTTCGTTCCCACGGCTACTTATTTACAGGTTTATTTATTCCTCGTTTTACGTTTTACGTCCAATCAGAAAATAAAAACTTAATAACACTTAAGGCTAGTCGGTGCTCGGTGCGCCCTAGAACTCTCTTATCTCCACCGTCGCTCCTGGCTCATCCAACAGCGGGAGTCCGCTGTTCTCTGGCTCTGGCCGCCCCAGTACGGGGTGCCCGCTGCCGGCAGATGCTTCTGCAGCAGCATCAACTGTCGCTGCTTCCGCTGCGACAATCGCCTTGGACTCTGTGGACGTGTGGACACTGGGGCTCTGCGACTTGTCCTGATCCTCCTGCCCCGCGGAAGCCTCGTCGTAGCGGACGTACGGCTCGAAGCTATTGTTGATCTGGAGGGAGCCTCGGTGGAGATTGTTAGACTCGGCCTCGAACAGAATCTCGTTGATGAAGTGTTCGGCCAAGAGCCGCTGCTCGCGGGGTAAACGCCGCAGCTTGTGCGTCCATGTGCGGGCTATCGACTCCTCCTCAGGATAGGTCCCGGCCAAATACTCGCAAGCAATGTTGAGCAGCTCGTCCGCGTTGTGGCTGTTGTTTGCACTGCCAGATCCGCCTCCAGGGCCGTTGTTCAGCGGAGGCGTCTGTCGGGCCCTCTTCGTTGGCCCGTAGTCGGTGTGCGAAGGCTGCGACGGCGTCGGGAGGCTGTCCACACGCTGGGCATGCCCAAACGATTTGTGGAACATTTCAGAAATGTTTATGTTTGGGGTTTGTCCGACCGATCCACGCGGCGTCGGATAATGCTGCTGGGGATTGCCGTGCTGGTCGATGAAGGCCGTCGAGCAGCTGCTGTTCTCACTGAAGAGGAAGGAGGGTTCGTTCTTGAAGAACGGGTTGACGGCCAAGAACTTCTCTGAGTTTCGCAGGAAGTCCAGCTCCTGGAAGGTCCAGCAGCGGGGACTGTGATGAGTGCCAGACCGCACAGCACTCTCCATCACCTTCAGCTCCTTGCGGTAGTTGGTCCGCAGCGTGTTGATCTTCTTCTTCACATCCTCGACAGTCGCGTCACGCTTGAGGTAATGATAGATGGGCACCAGCCGCAGGTACGCCTCCGCCCGCTTCTCCCGATTAGTGTAGTCCCGCATCGAGGTGTCCCAGAGCACGGGCAGGTCGCGATATGTGTGGATAAACGCCCGCAGGTAATGGCGGCACTCGTCGGGCCCGGACATTACCTTGAAGGTGTGAGGCGGCGGCGGTTGGGGGAGCATTTAGTTGGGCTGGGCTTTTTGTTTTTGTTTGGATAGCGTTTTCAGTGCCACTTTTCGGGCCACTTTCCTCGCCAGGGCCGAGAAAATTCGGGGGCACGGATTATGTATGGACCTATTGACGAACTGTCAATGCGCGGTTGTTGTTGTAATTGTGGGTTTGACAGATTGTTTGCCATATTGACCAAATTCATGCGTGTGTTGGTGTGTCCGTGTCTAGCTATGACGTCACAGCAACAAGTTGTCCGCGGAGTGGCAGCTCTGTTCAGGAACCGCGATATTTGATTGAGCTACCAGATGTAATGAATTTTGTTTGTTGCCCTATCGATATTTTTCCGCAGTTTAACTTGATTGTATATCGGTATATTTAATGCGTCTATTAAATTACATTTTTATTGTATATTCAGGAATATGGGGTTTCGAAACTACCATCCACATGTTTTTCAAATTTCCCCTGGTGACATTCCTCTCTTTTCCGAAATTAATTTTCTCTCCCTCCTGCGGGATCATTCTCTCTTACAACATGGGAATTTTTATCGCAGCAATGTATCTTTACTCCATACCCATTTTGTGCTTTTTGTTGGTTGATCTTTTTACTTAGATCCTTTCTAGTAAACAATCTAGTAAAAGATAGTCATGAAAACTAGTCAATCTTATGCAGAATTGATTCATCAGTTCGATAAAATTAGAGTTTTAGCGTTGAGAATTCCAACTAGCTGGTAATTTTGATCAGAATATCAAATCAAGAAAAATGTTATACGATATACCGTTTATTACTGTATATTTTGAAAATGAAAGGGTATATTTATGAGGGTCAGGCGGTATATTTAATCGATAGATGCGCGGTCACACTGACTCTAGTTTTCAAAGCATTCGCAAAATCGGCAAAAACCCAAACTAACTAAATCGGTTGCCTAGGCTAGCTATAGTGAAAATTGTGAACTACTTTTTTGCGCGGATGCTACGTAAACGAACGCATGTCTCTGGATTATCTCAGTAATCGAAAGATACACATTCACCGCTAGGCACAGCTGGGCATAAAAAGTGCGAGCGAGACGAAGACTCCGGACGTGCTTGGCCGTTGAATTTTGATTTTTATTTTCGACGCGCAGCCGTGGCGCGTAACCTGGGAGTGTGCAAGCGACTTACATGGTTTATCTTTTAGTTGTTGCTATAATTTGAACAAATTCCGGTCTACAAGCTTGTGAATAAGATCACATAGCACTATGCCCGCCTGTCTCTGTTAGTGTCGCCGGCTGTTCACTCCTGTGCCTGTTCTCTTCTTTGTGTTTGTGTGTGTATTTGTGTGTACGCGCACTTTTTTGTTCTTTTGCGCGCCGCTTTTTAATTGAGCAATTGACAAGAAATAAATTAAATAAAACGATGCCCTGGCAAAGGGCGACTGTGAAAAATGCATGAATGGTTAGATAAGGTTTCACTAGTTCACAATATTGACGCTTAGCAAATTCCGAATTTGTGCGTTTGTTTGGTTTCACGCGGAGTTTGACTGTGTCCCGTTTTCGTGTGCGAGACTGAGAGTGAGAGCGCCTCTATCGAAATGGAAACTATTGAAGAACAATCGAAATGCGGTGAGTATTGAGAGGGAGCGAAGGCCAACCAGCCCCTACTTTCCCTCCCCCACACCACTCCCCAGCCCACAACGAAACGCATATTTCATTTTCAATGTCATCGCGTAGTGGAGTCAGAGGGGTGTGTGAAACCACAGTCGGGGCCAAAAGATCCTCATAAAAAATGTCGCTGGCAGAAAATAAACAACATATCCATACACACATATGTATGTATGTCTGTATGTACAAGTACATACTCACTGACTAAAAAAAAACAGAATAGCCATGGCAGCGCGTCAGGGAATTTTAAGCTTTTATTTTCTGAATTTATTTCTGTGTAGAAAATATTTATCGCATAAAAAGAATTCTTGTGTGTGCAAAATTCTGTACGCCCCTCACTATCCGCCGGCACTGTACCGTTGGTAACGTAACCAGGGAGAAAGAAACACCAACGAAATAGCGGCAGCTCCTGTTATCGTTGCTGGCCGTCTAGCCTTTTTCGCACAGCTCTAGCACGAATTCCCTTTGGCTCACCAACTTATCAGAATGGCTTGTTTCAAGCCAGACACCACTGGCCTTCGCTACTTCCCTCAGGTAGAGGATATCTTACTGTTTTCGAGTGCGTGTGCGAGGAGTGCAGTTGCGCTTGCTCGCCTCAGTGACTATCCTTTGATTTTCCAGCCCTCCGCTCTGTCTCCTACCTATTACACATGTTTAAAAGAGGCGCACATGCCTATATTCAGTGGAGAGGGGTCGTTCGTGTCGTCTGCCTCAATGTTAATGGCATTTTTACATGGCTCGAAGGTCTGCTCTGCCTGCTGTCTGTCTCTAGGTTCTCTGCTCTGCTCTACGTCAAGGCTTCATCTCCTCTTCGGGACACGTAAATTTATTACAAGATCTTTCTTTGATGAGTCTCTTTCTGTTTCGGTTGTTTGACAAAAGGCTAAGAACTGAACAGGCCACTCAATTAGTTTTTCATCAAGTTTCTGGCAGGCAGCCAAAGAGATCGGAACAAACGAACAACAACAAAATCCGCTCAGCCAGAACGGACGAGGAAATTCCCGAATGGCGAAAAATGGTTCCCATCGCAAGAGAGAATCTGCACACCACCACCTGTGAGGGCCGTTTATGCATGCCACATTCCACCATTGCTGTGCCTTCCTTGGTGTGCCTTTCTTGGTGTACAAAAACACCTGTGGCTATGCGAAACAGTTTGCACGGGGAGGTCTCACGATTCTACCTCGACTTTAGTTACAGTTCGGTGCTTGATCCCTGAGGATCTGGTTTGGAAGAAGCAACATGTTGCACTTGCCCGTTACGCGGCTCTCCTTCGGCTGCCACAGCACATACTGCAACAGCAACAGCAAAAGCAACAGCAAGAAATTGGTTACGGTCCAGCGACAGGCTTCCTCTTACTTCACATATGGCGAGCAGGAGCACATCAAGCAGATAAAGCTCCGGCAGGCGGCCCTCTGTCAGGTGTACGAGGATTTTACAGGTACATACATACAAACGAGGGTGTAACCCTCTACCAGGGACAGGGTCTGAGTTGACTGTGGGTTCAGTGAGGGTCAGAGTTTAAGCAGGGTTCAGAATTTACCCGAGAATCGCACAAAAAAATAAATATTCTCAAAAATGAGAACCATTTCCATGGAAATTTTGCAGTGTATCTATGAACGATTGGCGGTTGCAATTCATAGAATTCATGATCGTTATTAATAAATTCAGGGAGCATCATGTGTTTAAAAACCATTAGCAATCAAAGCGTATAAAACGATGCTAAAAATTGTTCTTAATTGTTGTGACAGTTCCCCAGCCTCCCTCCACTATTCATTTTCTGTGACCATTGCACTATTTTCCCGGAACTCCCAACGAATCTGGCAGTCCCCGAACAGTTTCCTCTGATGAAGAACTCAACCTCAATATTTAAGTTCTACGAACTAAAAGACTCGACATTGCGTAATTATATCTGTCCAGATTTAAGATATTCCAAGCCTTTAAAGAATTTTGATAGTCCATAAATACCCGACCTCCATTAGGTGCATCTGTTTCTTGTTTTCGGGAATGCATTGCTGGAATTATCCATCTGGAGATTCAGCCGATACGTAGGAGAACGACATCAACAACACAAGAGATATTCTCCTCGTGCCCCTCCCATCGTTTTTGCGTTTGATCGGGGATCTTCTGCACAATTCCTGGACTTTGCCTCAATTGCACAAGTGGCGAATGTCTCGCCAGGCCACAGATACAGATGCAGATGCAGATGCAATTGGCATCGGTTACAGCTGCACAATTCTGGATAAAATGAATGCCACAAAAGCTGCCGCATTTCTCTCGTCTCTACCTCCCCCTTTCTCTCTCTTTCCTTTCCTCGCCCATGTCGATTGGGGGTAAATGATTTGCACTTGAAAACATTTTCTAGAGCCCCCATCGTACCCGATCGTGCTCTTATACTTTTGGTTTTCTGGGTGGGTGGGTGCCTGTGCCTGTGGCTTTTGCCTGCCCGCCCCCATGTGGGTGGCTGAGCTAAAAGGCATGCCCCTTGCAGTTACCTTCTGCCCCTGCTCCTGCCTCTTCTTGTCTGCCTCACTGCGTTCTTCGGCACAATTAAAATTGATGTCAACAGCTCACAATTTGTGGTTCCGTTCCTAATGATCGACAGCCGAGGATTGCTGAGGATTCTACTTGTCCGCTGTGCCACGACACAGCCCACATTGCCATTCTCCTCCTCTTCTCCTCTCCTCAGCCTGCCAAGTGTGTGGATTATATTTGTGTTAGTTATAGCTGTTCTATTCTTTTCTATTCGGATTCTCCTCTTTATTTTGTTTGTTTTATTTTGCACAATTGCCAGCTCCCTCCCTCTCTCTCATTGTCTGCCTGCCTGCCTCTGCCTCGCACACTCAATTGCATAAACAAACAAATCCACAAATTTGCAATAAATCACAACAAAAACTTTTCCCATTACCCTGTAAACAATATTTGCCAAAGGGTGGATTAGTTCCGAGCTAAAGCATGATATGGGAATGAAATACATTGAAGAATTGTGTAAACAAGATGTGAGCTATCCTGTAACGGGGCAGTATCTGTATCAGTTGTTGAGAGATGGAATAGATAGGACAGATTCTTTTGGTATTATGCATTCTGCAACCGACGTACATAGATTACCCTATAGGGTATCATCGAGAAGACACCGTGCCAGACATTCGTATAGATTTGTTTGATTTATACAGTTCTCCATTCTGATCTGTTTCTTTTTCCCACCACAGAGATGACCATTACCACGCTGCCCACACGGATCTGCCTGGTGGGCAATGCAGGCCAGGATGCGGGCACGCTGCTGGCAGCCGAAAGCTTCGGCCTGCCCGTTATAACATCCGACACGGGTCAGGACATCGCTGACGACAAAGAGTGGCGGACATTCTACGTGATGGAGGACTTTGAGGGCGACAGCTTTCAGGCGCTGCACAAGCAAAAGGAATGGTGAGTACTAGTAGTGACTAGTGAGTGAGTGTGCTGCTATTATTAGCCCCTGAGAATGGCAAGAGCAAGAGTCAGAGTACTGCTTAAATTAGACACAAATCTGTCACATGTGCTCCCAAAACAGTTCCATAACCATCGTCCATCGTCCATCGTCCGCCGCCTCATCAGCAGCGGCGGCAACAAATTGAATTTGAAATCGAGACACACGCGTGCTGTGCTGCTCTGCTGTGCTCTCATGTGGATCCCATTATTGACAGCGCGTCAATGCGGCATACTCCGCAGTTATTAAGCTGTCCGTCCACACTCCGTTTACCGTATGCATACCCTTAAGAAACTCACTTTCTTACTCTCTATTACTCACATTCCGAGGGTGCTCCTTCATGATTTTGGGAATAGTTGAGACTAGAAGAGTATCCGTTAGTCGACTTTGGGTCGTTTTGAATTTCAACAAATTGTCAAATTTGAAACTTGCGCAAATTTGTGGTTCTTTTTCTGTAGCTCTGCGTATCGTATGTGGGCTCTGTTCTTTTCGTTTCTTTTGCACGCTTGATTAATTTGCCTGCTGCGTAGTAATAGTGGAATACCTCTCCCTGCACTACACCCTCTCTTGCCCTCTCTGTCCCTCATTAGTGATTAAACATAACTTTTGGAGATTTCTTAGCTCTGGTTCAACAACTATTAACGAGCATTTCTGTTTGGAGGTCACCAAATGCGTGGAAATTGTTATGGCTAAGAAATACATATGTAGACATAGAGAGAGGGGAATGGGTGGCACAGGAAGATGAGATGTTGTTGGGTGGGTGGGCGTCGGTTTTTCCTTTTCATGTTCTCAACACTTGCACTACGTAAAGGAAATCTGCAGAAGCGGAAGAAGCGCTCGTTCCCCCCATTAAGAATTATTATTTATTTCATAGACTTTCATTCATGTTTCGCCGTTCCGTTCGTTTTGTTATTTGCAAATAATATTCTACATTTGATTTTCTTTGTTCGGTTTTTCGGTTGTTTTCTTTTAGCTCTTTGCTAATTATGTTTCTGTTTCTCATGTTCTCATTCGAATGTTTTTTTATGGCACGTCCCAAAGTTCTCCAAGTGTTATTTTCTTGTTGATACTAATTTATGGGAAATCATGCATATTTCTTGCTGGAATTAAATTCTGTCTAACAAGTGGAATGGAAACTACCGTCAAAACAAAGTAGAATATTTGTTATCAAGAAAGTTGCTTATTCTTTTCATAAATATTTACTTCATGTAGTTTGATTTTCTCTTATTAGAATAGACAGTTGTACATAGAACCTAAAAGAGCGGAGAGGTCTTTATGGCCGTTGCCATAGTTGGGGAAGGAGAAATCGAACAATGAGGAATTCCCAGGAAAACTGCGAAAAACCCAGAAAAGCACTTAACGGCCACTTAACCTCCGCCCAAAATGATGCCACACAAGATATAGAGAGAGGGATAGAGAGAGAGAGAGAGAGATCTTGTTAATTGTGTTTACCAGTGGAATCTGAATCATTGAGGAATTCGCTGGCAAATCCCCCATTTCGATGATCCATTCATTCGTTTGGGAAATGGGGGAAGTCGTTGCCTATTTTGGCAGCGAATATAAACATTAAATTGAAAATATAAATAAATGACAATTTCAGATGAAAAACTGTGCGTATTTCTACAGAAATCGAAAATGAATCGTCTCTTGTTTTTTATTTATCTATTTACTTTCTATTTATTTGTTTCTGCTCCTGGGAGGGCAGAGTGAGGGAAGCTCTGGCCAGAGTAGAAGGAGGCGGAGGTGGCATTGCAGCAATCTCTTGGCGCCAAGATTCTATAAAAATGCGAACCAACGATGTCAAATCGTATAGAGAGTAGAGAGTGTTGAAAGCACCAACGGAAATTCCTGCCATACACCAACAAAAAAAACCATCGTACGTATGTACATATAACAAATAGCAAAAAAGCAAAGAAAATGAGGAAAATAAAATGTATACAGTTTTATTAACTCATTTTATATGAAATGAGTTGTGTGTGTGGCTACAACGAACCGAGAAATAAGATTGTATGTATAATTTATAAGTTTCGATATATGTGTATATGGCAGATTAATTGAGGCAGAACGCAGAATGGGGACGGGTCCGCGAACGACATGTCATTGACTGCTCAATAGTTTTGACCCTCGCAAAGTTCGAGTGCCCCTCGGAGGGTCGGAGCAGCCGCCAAAGATCGGCGCACTTTACAATGGAGAGTGCCCCTTTGCCACATCCATCACACTGCCCCCTAGAACTGGGCCCCTCAGCCTCCTCCATTGTGGAGGCCAATCCGTTGCGTTGCGAAGGAGGAGGCCCTCCATTGTTGGCGCGTGCGATTCGCATTTTTATGCTTTGACTAAGCAGAAGAGCATTTTCCTGGGTTTTCCTTGAGTCAACTTTCGAAATATATTTAATTGTTCTTTGGAATTTTGTGAACTATTTGTTTGTCTCTGCTCCTCTCTCGGGGATTCTCTTTTGGAGATTTGTCACCTCTCTCTCTGCCTCTCCCTCTCTGAGAGATCTCCCTCTCTTTAGAATGTTTCACACATTAAGTGGCAAAAACAGCAAGAGCAACAGTAGGAGGAGGAGGAGGAGAGGGAGAGGGTAGGGTGGACCAGGCATTTTCTATTTCCATTTTCCACACGCTCACGCTCCTCAGTCGCTGCTGCTGCTGTCTCCATCGTCCCCATCGTTTATTCAATCATTTTTCCCCAGCAACGAGAGGCAGTCGTTGTAGCAGTTGTGTTTGTTTAGTTGTTCTGCTCGGTTACGGAAAGAATCGTATTGGAGCTCTTGTGGATGCCACGACCTATACACATATACACGTTCCCGGGCTGAATCAGAGATACAAGAACAAGTGACAACAGACAACAGATACCCGTAGATTCATAGACTCGTTCGTTTGGCAGTGACAAATATTTGTGCATATGGAAATCTTCCTTTGTTGGTAAGGAAATGCTGTGAAAATGTGGTCGTGGGTGTGGAAAAGTGTAAATGTGAATGTAAGATGATATGCGGAGTGCTGATGGCTGATGGCTGATGGCAGTGCGGGCAATCAGATGAGTGAAAGTCAACAGGAAGTGCAACACGAGAAAAAGCCAAGAAAGTGAAAGATCAAGTAAAAATGTGTGTTGCAAGGGAAACGCTTTCCTTCAGGTGAAACAATCCTTAGTGGATCGAAAGGGAATGGGTTCTCTGAGGAACCGCAACTGGATGTTTTCAAAGAGTATTTTACACAAATAAATTGTGAAAGAAATTTCCCCTCTGGCATTACTCAATTTTCGGGTGTACCGCAAATTGTTTTTGCAATTCCGGTCATAATTACACGCCCTGATGGGGAGTAAGAGAGGGATATAATCGTAAATAAAATGCTCCTCATGGCGGAGAGGAGCATGCTTCAAAATGTATCATAAATAAACGCCACATCACACATAATGCATCATACGCCTCGTTCGCCTCTTACGCCCACAAATGGGAACGAGATGGGAACAATGCTCGAGTGGCGGCTGCAGGCTGCGACTGTACTTCCGCTCGATGATTCCATTCCAATTGATTTGTTTATCAAAACTTCCGGCTTCTGCCAGATGAAGGGAATCGGAGGAGAGGATGCGGCTGCGGCTGCAATTGCGGAGGACACCAGCCGGCTGTAGATGTCCGTTGGGGGATAAACAACAGAAGAAGCTCAAGGGAGGAGGGCACTGGTGTGTCGATAGGTGTGGGGATCCATCATCCGAGTCAAAGTTCAATATAACGTTCACTTGCCGCACACAAATTGAAATCAATTTCTCGCGTCAGTTGTGCCTCTGAGGTTGCCGCCAAAGGGACCGCGACTGATCGATCTCCGCTATCGGTAATAACCGATACCCAACCGATTCGCAATTGAATCACGGCTGCTGCAAGGTCACATTGCAGTCATAAAAGCCCCGCCACAACCAAAAGCTCAAGCACATCGATCGCCTTGCATAACTCAAAAGTGTGCCACATAAATATTTAATTTGAATTGTCTCTCGGGACCCCCTCCTGTATCTGTATCTATATCTGTATCTGCATCTACATCTGTATCTTCTGCAGCATTCTGGGTCCGCCCGCTTTGAAGTACGCGGCAGAGATGAAACAGACGCTGGGCCACAACTCGCGGCCCATTTACAACTATGCGATGCGCGGTGTGGTCACTTGCTTCACGGGCATACGACAGAAGGACGAGCTGGTGAGTGGATCGCCCCTGCTCGCGACATCTCGCTGGACAATCCTCCAATCAATTCTCCTCTCTTCTTGCAGACCAAATTGGTGCACCACATCCACTCCATGGGCGGCTGCATTAAGAGGGACATGAACCCGAAGACAACGCATCTCATTTGCAGTCACAGTGGCGGCGCCAAGTATCAGTGAGTTCCAGCCTGGAAATCCCCTAGAGCTTCGAGTATTAATAGTCCCTCAATAGGTACGCCAAAACCTTCCGCTTGAGTGTTGTTCGTCCTGACTGGGTGTATGCTGCCTGGGCGGACCGCGATACCCTGGAGTTTGATGCCACACAGGAGAGCTTCACCAAGACACATAGGCTGAAGGCGTTCGAGGGACAGAAGGTGTGCTTCTTTGGCTTTCCCGCCGATGAGCACCAGCACATGGTCGATGTGCTGCTGGAGAACGGCGGTGTCTGCGCCAGCCTGGAGGACCCCGAGTGCTCGCATGTTGTGAGTAATTTAATACAATCCCATCCTCTCCAGAATGGGTATTCTCGTAGAATAGGCTTCCCTCCCACAGTGTAGAATATTTGAGTACTCTAGTGCATGCCGTAGTGTCATTTGTTTTCCTCTGGAATGCCTAAATTTTGGCCACAATCCTTAACTAGTCCTAAACTCCACGTGTCTGTCTTCCAGGTGATGCCCAATACGGGCGTTGTACTTACAAGCACTAGCACTAGCACTGATACTAACCCAATCACAAGCAAAATCACATGCTCAGGCTCACTAACTAACCCAGATCCCCAACCCACAACTGTCGGTGGGAGCTCAAGCCCTCCCCAAACACCCACATCATCTCGAGATAGCGGGCGGGCAGGCGGGGCAGCAGAAGGAGGCGAACCAATGGAAGAGGCCGAACCATTAGAAGGAGTGGAAGCGCAGGCACTGGAGGAGAAGGAGAACGAATGCGATAATCGGGCTGATTACGAAGACGAGGACATACACTTCGATGAGCGACTCTTTGTGGAGACCGCACCTATTCAAATGGCTGGCGAGGATCAGCTCCCGGAATCGGACGATGACGAAGATAATCAAGGGGCTTCTGAGGATGTCCAGGCCAGTACTCCAAAGACGAGCAAGCAACGCATCAGCCTTGCGGCTGCCACGCCCATCAGTAGTTCCCCAGAAACGAACACGGAAGCAATGGCAATGGAAATGGGGCTGAAACTCCAGAGCCACACCCCTAACGTATCCCCCATCCTGAAGGCCATCGATGAGTGCGACATGGAAACGGACGATCTGTTCGATGAGGAGGCGGTGGAGGGAACGGACCCAAGCGCCCCAGTCACTGAGAATGATCTCAAGCGTAAGCGCGACAGCGTCGACAACATTTCCCTAATGTCCGTGGACTCGTGCGTCCTGCCGGGGAGCACCAAGAAACCCAAGCTGACCCGAACTGGATCCATCTCGCGCACCCTCCGTCGCTCCGTGAGCTTCGTGGCCGAGCCGTTGAAAAATGTGCTGCGGCCGCGGCGCAGCTCGATTGCGGCGGCGGATGTCTCAACCATCCTGGACAGCGAGGCGGCCGACGACTCCTTTTGCTCGCTGGCCTCCTCCATCAGCCTCACGCTGAACGAATCGATCAGGAAGCCCGTGAAGGACAAGTTCCGCAACATCTGCAGCCGCATCACTAGAAGCAGCAGTCGACGAGGGGACAAGGATCGTGATCGCCATGGCGATCGAGAAGGAACTCCCGAGTGCTCCAGTTTAGGGCCGCCAATGGACAGCGGTTTCAAGACTCCGAAGGCACCCAAGCCACGTTCCTCTGCCACTCCGAAAACTTCCAAGCGCCTCTTCGGCCCCGTCTCCTCCGTCGTGTCCTCCCTGGCCCTCAGTAACGTCCCATCCCCCAGTCCCCAGCCTCCTTCCCATCCCAGTTGGGATACTAACGACACCTCAACCACATCGACATTCGCTTTATGTGCTGCTGCTGCTGCTGCTGCTGCTGTCGTCCCCACATCATCATCATCGTCGTCATCTACGGTGACTGCTGCTGCTGTCGAACACAGCTCCGTTCAAGATATTAAAGAAGAGTCGCCCAATGGGTCGACACAGAGGCCCGAACCCATGCAAATGGTATATAATATATGTGTATTTTGTGGATACTTTCCCGATCTGTCTATCTATATGTACTTTTCATGGGGCAAATACAGCAAGTCTGTGAAACGGCAAAGGAAAGGAAGACGTCTTAGAGATCCAAAGAATTTTGTACCCAATGAAAATGTTGATTTTTAAAGAGTTTACTTAAACAAAAACGTTGAGGTTTCCCCTTTTCCCCATTTTGAATCCCTTCCATTAATTTTCCACATTTATTGTACTTTTTTTGAGCATTTTTTGAACATTTTTTCAGTTGCTGTCCTCGGCGGTTGCTCATCCTCCCTCATCAACACCCTATCCCCTCTCATTCCTCACTCCCAAATAAGAAATTGTTAATTGTTATTTAATGGTTAATGAATGTTCATAGCTTAAGTCTCAACATCTAATTTGGTGCGGTGCCTGTAATTTCTGTAAATAATTTATTTATGGTTTCTTTTGGTGTTTAATGCTTCTTCTCCCCCTCCCCCTCCACTCTCCTACCCACCACTTCCACTTCCACCTCCATTTCCTTTTCCACACTCATAGCCAGCGCACAGAATCACACAAAAGAGCGGCACAATAAATATTTGAAATAACAAAAAAATAAAAACAAAAACATAGAAGAGGTGGAGAAAAATCAACAGACAGACAGACACATTCCTCGATCAGCTTGAATAAATGTTAAAAAATGCCACCACCATCAAAAAAAGTAGATAAATAATAGGCATTGCGGGGTCCCATCCCAAAAAGAATTTCATTTCCATTTAGGTGAATTATTATTTTTGTTCTTGTTTTGCTTCATTTGGCAGAGTACGAGTATTTGCACAAATGTTTCCCTGCCCTCTCCCTCACTCGCTCTTTCTCTCTCAATGGATAAACAATTTGCATTTATGTTCTGCACCATTCCTTCCATTCCATGCCATTCTGTTTGCCGTTTGCCGTTTCAAAGTGTTGCCTGCCCCATGAAAAATGTGCACTAAAAATGTTTTGTTTGGCCTTTTTTGCATTTGATGAATGTTTTAAAAGTTCAGAAATTTATTGTGCCTGCTGGATCGCTGTGCTGCTCTGCTATTCTATCCTCTTCATCCATATATCCATATACATATATCTATATCTACCGAGTATATAGATTGACTGCTTGATTGAGTTTGCGTATAATTAAAAATTGCCTCGAGCCAGAGCAAAACAAAACATTTTTCTGTCTGCATTCCTTTTTTCATTCCTGTTGGCTTCCCTCGCCGAGGGAATAAATCGCCAGAAATTAATTAAATCCATTTAATCGTTCGTTCAGGTGGTTGACGAGCACACGACCGTCGCGAAGCCCGATCCCAAGAACATTCAATCCCACATCCTGAAATCAGACTGGTTCTGGTACACCATACAGAATGGCTATGCCAATGAGATGGACTATCTGTTTGGAGATGTAAGTATCTAGCCCTATGTCCGTATCTTATATCCATCCCCCTATAAACGTTTTGTTTCCCTGACAGTATCTGTATAGCCTTACCAATACCCCGAATACGGATCGACGGGACTCGCTGCCCGTCAGCTTCAACAAGAGGAAACGCAAGCGTTTATCGCAGCGCATCCAGCTGGAAGGCACACCTCTGGGATCGGGCAAACGGCGCTCCTCCGTGTCGGATGCGGGCCTGCTCTCCGTCTCCAACAGCCTATTCGACTGCACCACGAGTCCCGATAAACTGCTGGACGGCGACGACAAGCTACTGCACCACGCCGATCCGGAGCCCATCGATGGCACGCCAGTAAAGAGATCCATGCGATTCAACCACTTTATGGACTTTTTCACCACGGAATCCAACTACGTCGGAATACTGGATACCATTTTAAATGTATGTGCACCCCATAGAATAGATACCCATAGATCCCCATGCCAACCTGTATCTGTCCCCTTTTGTGTAGCTGTTTAAAAACAAACTGGAGGAACTGGCCGAGACAAATGATCCGCTGCTCAATAAATCAGAAATCAAATCTGTGTTTGGCAACTTTCTGCCCATCCACGAGGTGCACCAGAGCATGCTGGAGCATCTGAGGAATCTGCATGCCAACTGGCGGGAGGACTGCCTCATCGGAGACATCATCATCCGGCACCAGGAGGAGCTGATCAAAGCATATCCGCCCTATGTAAACTTCTATGAGCAGATGAAGGAGCAGCTGCAGTACTGCGACCGCGAGTACCCCCGCTTCCACGCCTTTCTAAAGATCAACCAGACAAAGCCCGAGTGCGGCCGACAGAGCCTGCAGGACCTGATGATCAGGCCCGTGCAGCGGCTGCCCAGCATAAGCCTGCTGCTCAAGGACATTCTGAAGCACACAGCCAACAGCAATGCGGACCACGAGAGATTGGAGGAGGCCTTGAAGGCCATCAAGCAGGTGACGCTGCACATTAACGAGGACAAGCGACGCACCGAGTCGCGCATGGCCATTTTCGATATATTCAACGATATCGATGGATGTCCTGCGCACCTCGTCAGCTCCAACCGCAGCTTTATCGCCAAGTGCGAGGTGAACGAGCTCTCCGACTCATTGAGCGGGCGGGGGGACAGCCTCGTGCTGTACCTCTTCTCCGATTCCATCGAGCTGTGCAAGCGACGCTCGCGCGCCTTCAACACCGTCAAGTCCCCCAGCACCGGCAAAACGCACAAGCACCTCAAGCTGATCTCTCTGAACACGATACGCTTCGTGATTGACATCTTGGACAGCCCACGCGCCTTCGGCCTGCTACTGCGCGGCGACAAGGAGAAGTTCTACACGTTCACCATGAACGACGAGGAGACGGACAAGCACAGCTACATGAAAAAGCTCTGCAACCAGATTGCCGCCCACATGTGCCGCACGGATGCGGACAAGCTGCTGCTCTGCCAATCATCCCAGGAGCTGGACGTGGACATCAGCGATGTGAATGTGAGCACGCTTAGCAAGGCCTTCAAACTGGCAGCCAAGACGCGCCTTAAGGTGGGTTTCTCTCCTACAGGATACAGGAGTAACATTTACTGATCGATGCTCTCTTTAGGTGGGTCGCGCCTTCTCCTTCAACAAGACCCCAAACAAACTGAAACGAGCCGTTTCCACCATGATGACCTCGCCTTTTGGCAGCACCAACTCCCTGACGCCCTCCTCCCAGCTGGCCCAGATGCGTTTGGCTGCAAACAGCTGCAGAAATATTAATGTGAGTATTGCTAAACTGAAAGTGTTCGCTTGCTAAGAGTTTTCTCTTTGCTGTTGTCGGTTCACAGGAAGTGGCCGATGAAGATGATTGCTCCAGCATGAGAAGCAGTTCGCCATCGACGCAATCGGAAACTTTGGTGGTGCCGCCAATGTCTGTGCAGCCCACGCGCAAGAACAAGGCTGTTGTAGGTCGCATTTAGAGTCGTGATTGACTCACAATTTCTGTATTCCATGCCTCAACGCATCTTCGAATTCGTAATCTCACAGAAAACACATCAAATCAGATCAGATCAGATCAGACACAGAACAGAAACTAATTTTGTAGATTGTAAAAAAATGTATCGTTAAGTTTGTCGCTTGTCGATGAGGAGCAGGTGGCAAATGTTGAAGCGTTTGCCGCCGCACCATCGAATATCGCATATTATTATGACAATGACCGATTATAAGATCCAAGTGTAAATAGTTCCCTCTCGAGATATTATATGTAATCCATAACCCGTAATCGTAAATTGTATATCGTGTCCGTGTCCCTCCCTGCACAATCGTAGACCTGTGTCTAGGAATCTAGAAATCGCATTATCGAATTCACAAACGAGATCCGAGTTGCTATCCATCGATCGAATGATGGATTCGAAGACATTTCGGCTGTTTTTGATTACCCCGACAAACTGCAACACACACTGCAACAAGCTGTGAATGTTTACTGAGTAAATTTTACAACAAAATATTAATTTTCATAATTAAACAAAAACAATAATTTTACACAACTAAATGGCGTTTCTCTCTTGCTTAAATTTTAATTCAAATTTGATATCGCAAACAATTTTGGCATATACATCGAAACAGATCTGCGAGGGCTGGCAATCCAATACCTTTCCCTCTGTCAAACGGTGTAGATCGATTTGACGCTCGAATTGGCCTTGCACATGGCATCCGAGTGGAGCTGGTACTGCAGATTGTTCGACTGCAGATGGAGGAAGAGTTTTAGCTTCTGGCCAATCTCGAGAATTGCCAATTTGTTGCTACCATTGGCAGTCCAAAGAGCTGGAAGAGGAGCAGGAGCAGGAGCAGCACTAGCGTTAGGGGATGCATGGAAACAGATTTATAACTGATTTCTGGCACTCACAGATCTTATTGTTCTTGGCCCGAATATTGATCACTGCACCGCATATCTCCTCGGAGTTGGCAAAGATGCGCGCCGTCATCATGAGGAGTATATCCAGCCAGAGGCGATCTAGTTCCGCCTTGGAGTTCTTGTTGACGCTAATCAGCCAGCGGCCTCCCCTGCTGTTGGCCTCATCTTCCCACATGGGCCTTGGGAAAGAAAGGGGCAAGGGCGAAAGAGGGCACATTTAGATGGAGGAAACGGATGATGGACTGTGTCCTACTTGATGCCCATCTTAAACATGGAGTAGTCGCATCCCACTTTCAGTTCCGATGGTGGCCTGATGGTGTAATACAGGCTCCAGAAGGTCTCCACACTGTCGATCTTCGCGACTTCACTGAGCATGTCCTTCCAGTGTTTGGTGCGATCGTTCTCCAAGTACCACAGAGTCCACACATTCTCCAACGGATGTCGCGCGGTTCTTGGGGATGGGACATCGCTGTGTTCTTCCTTCTCCCCAGCAGAGTCATCATTCTGTTCCTTTGGCTTCTCCTGCTGCTGCATCTTTGAAGCCTCCTCCACTACGGCTTGCACTTGAGCACTGGCCATCATCTTTTTCACAGAACAGAATTCTAACCAAAACCAAAACTCGAGTGAATAAATTTATGGAAACTAAAACAACTATGATTCGAAATGATAACGTTAAAACATGCTTCTGTGACATCAACATCAAGGCGATGTTGAGGCAAGAATCTCAGACTGCTGATCCACTGATACATACATAAATAATACATATATTTTATTTATAAATACTGTCAAACTTAATTGAAATGAAATTTACATGAAATGTTAACGTAAAAAATGCGATTGATTCTTCCTTTCTAATAAGATAAAGAATACATCATCCTGAACATTGATTGAAACTCAAATGTTGTCTTCTCCACGAATAAACCTAACATCTAAGCGAGAGAGGCACACACTACACACAATGATGATATTGAAATGGGGGCTGGGATCCTTCAGACCCACAGCACAGCGGCTGCATCCTCATTCGACAGGGTGGAGAAGCGCTGATAGCGGCCTGCATTCCTGTACGTCGTCTTCGAGGGCTGCGGACTGCTCTGCTGTGGATTCTGAGTCAAAGTCTGAGTCTGAGTCTGAGTCTGCTGGAGGGGAACCCCTAAGACATTCAGGGCCCCCGACTTGAGTGTCGAGTTGCGGCTGTCTGTTGTGGAGACGGAGAGACGCCTTTCATGATTGATTGCTCCTCCTGCAATCAGAGTAGAGCTCAGGGGCAAACCAACGTCGTGGAAGGAGCTAATGGAACTAAAGCCGCTCTCATCCTCTGTACTACTCGATCCTCCTCCTCCTACTGCATTGGTGGGCTGTGGTTTCTTGTTGTGGCTGATGGCTGTGGCTGTGGCTGTGGCTGTGGCTGCGGTGCTGCTGGCGGTGGTTGTGGTCAAGTTGTTCTTGCTGCTGTTCTTCGTGTTGTTGTTGTTGGCATCCTCATCCGTTTCGAACTTTGAAGAGGCGGAGGAGGCCGTCGAGGAGATGGTGGAATGCACAGAGCTATCGGTGGAGCTGCGCAACGAGAGCCGCGAGTCTCGCATGGTGTTGGCTCGCAGGAACAGCATCTCCGCATGCGATTTTCCAGCTATCGTGGCCGAGAGGGAGGGAGAGGGAGCCTCCATGGTGGCATTCATGATGCTTGTGGAGTTGTGCCGCGGCGGCGTCTGGAGGAGCGTCATCACGGAGCTGGTCTTCGCTTTGCACAGGCGATGGAGATGCGGCATGTGGCTTCCGTTTCCGTTCCCGTTCCCGTTCGCGTTGCTGGGCAGAGAGGAGACGGAGGCCATGGAGTGGCGAGGCTGCGTGAGATCCGGCTGCTGCTCGGAAGTGTTCAGCAGATTCCTGATGGTGCGTGCCAGGCGGAAGGCCTCCTGGTTGAGCTTCTCCTCGGCGACCTCTGGGGCGGACAGGCGGGCCTTGCAGCCTCCAGTTTTCTTCGGAGAGCGTCGCCTGAGCGTCGGCAAGAGAGCCAAAGAGGGGGATTATAATGGATTGAACCTTCATTTGAATCTCTTAATCAGATCCACTTACCAAGTGAAATCCTTGAAGGCATTGTAGCTGCCGGCCGGGGCAATCGCCTCGTAGTTGTGCTCCTCGTTCATCGCATGCATCGATTTGTTGAGCATCAGATTGGTGCTGCTCCTGGCGCGCAGATACGAGGCGGATACTTCATCCTCATCGTGCAGGAGCAGGCCATCGCGCTGCTCGCTCTGCAGCGAGGAACCAATGGAGCCACTGGAGCCGTGTCCCACTCCGTGCACATGGTGCAGACTCTTGGAGCGAGCGATCTGCTCCCCGTTTCGGTGGGTTTGCTGCAGATGCAGCTGCTGCTGGTAGCGCTCGAAGAAGCGTGCCACTTCCTCCATGACAGCGCGGTACATCTCGCAATTGGTTTCAGTCTGCGAACGGGAGAAGGGAGAGGATCTCTCTTGAGGATCATCCTGGACAGGATTTTATGGTTTAGCGGTTAAGGGTTAAGGGTTAAGGGTTAAGGGTTACAGGTTATTGGTTATAGGAATGGATCGGAAAAAGATGAAAAATGATAGAGGAAAGGTAGGAGGTAGGATGCGTGCGGATAGTTCTATCGTGTGTCTGTATCAATTCTCATTCTCTGCCATTCTTGTCCTCAGCTTCTGCTGCTTTCTCGGAATCATATCGAGTCCATATCCCTGGACATCGTCCCACTGTGCCTGGTGGGGTCAGTGCTTTGACACTCTTCCAAATGCATATGGAACCAACGATCGACGACGTTCAGCGACAATGACTTTAATTTGTTATTTATGTTAATTGTTTGTATGATTTTTCTATGGCACCAGCAGCCGGCAGCCGGCAGCCGGCAACCGGCAGCAGCCGTATCATCAGCCTATAAAAACTTTCACTTGATTTGTTATCGCTCTCCATTCTGCTACGCTGCTCTTTCTCCACTTCATGCCTTTCTTCTCCATCTGCCGCTCTCTGTGTGTGGGTCTGTGGGCCAGCAGAAACATTTCTCCATTCCGATGGAATGTCTTCTGTGCTCTTCATTTGATCAACTTATTGCTGCTGTGAGCCAAAATTCAGTCTAATTATCAAATGCCATTCGTGTCGCCGTTTGCCAAATTGGCAGAGACCTCAAATAGGCGTTAAGATTGCCATCCATTCATCCACCTGGCACACGCCCACCGCCAAAACCATTTGAAAATTGGCCAAAAACCAAAAACCAAAATCAAAACCAAATAAAGAGTGAGGCTTTCGGGTGTCTCTCGGGGGAGAGGGGCTTCATGTCTTCACACGATGCCAAAAATGTGGCTGGTCTCTGGCTTTGCCACTGATTATGTAAGTGGCTGCCGCAGCCACAGACAGTCGCTGCCACAGCCACTGCCTCTGCTGCATTTCTTGCACTGCAGTTTGGAAATTGTTGCTAATTTTTCCACTGGACGTTTTCCGTTTACAGAGTTTTCCTCGGTGCGTGTCAGCGGGAGCTTTTGCTTTTGCTGTTGCTGTTGCTGTTTTTCCTTTAGTTTTTTGGTTTTGCGGATTACGAATTATTTCGTGGGGGTTTCGTTTCGTGTGTGTCTGAGATTTATTTGAAAATGATGTGTGGAAATTCGTTGGCTCTTTGCGAGTGATTTCGATTTTGTTACTTATGGTTATACTTATGGTTTAATTTCATTCAAAAATGTACTGTGAATGCGAATGCGAATGCGGCTACTCGGAGTGCTGCCTCTCTTTTCGCTCATCGAACAATTGGAGCTGTGATAAAAGCGATAAAAGAAAAAACATCTACTAGAAGATGCATTTTCAGCTCTTGGACTCCTCCGATTGGAGATTCAATTTACGCTCTGTCTGGCAGCAGCAGCAACAGATTGTTACCCACTCCCCTGCCCCCCCCCCCTCCCATTTGAACGCACTTCCTGGCTGTGGTGTTGCTGTGCTACCACCACTTCCATCCATTAGGCCATTCAATTAGACGGCTATGGCTCGGCATAAATTGCATTCAAATTTGTTTTTCTATCCACCCATCGACTGTGCATCAATCAATCAATCGGGGGTACCCACCCACGGGAGGCAGCTTCGAGCTGTTTTCCTTCCTTCTAACCCACTTTTCCATCAACAAGAAACTGACCAAAGTACACATGGAAAATATTTCATATTTTCATATCATATTTTCATTCTGTGCTTTTGTTTTTGTTTTTGTGTTTCTCTTGTGTTTTTCTTCTTGCAATTTTCCATCAGCTTTCCATCCACCAAGAGGCGTCAACCTTCAATCATTGAAGGCTGTGGCATGGGGCATGGAGCATGGAGCGCGGAGCGCGGACTCATGTGTGGCTCATTTAAAGCGCATTAAATCGAAACGAAAGCGTAAATTTTCGCTCTTGAATCGTTGCATCTCTCGTGTCTCTTGTATCTTTGTACAGCTGGACATTCGCCGGGGTCTCATAGGCGTTTGCATAGAACCGCTTCGCAAGCGGGGAATTGAAAGTGTTGCACGATGCACGTCGCAAGTTGCACGTTGAAGGTCATCCATCCCATTGGGGATGTCTCCAGTTCAAAGTGCGGCAAAATGAGACCAGCTTTCAGCCTCGAAAAAGTGGGCCAGCACTGCAATGGGGGAAAACTTGCAAAAGTCGATGTCAGTGGAAATGACGATCGCAGTGGAAAGTGATCTTTCTTCTTTCTTCTTTCTTCTTGAAAGGTGACTCTACTGTTTTCTGTTACCCCATTCAGTGGTGGCCACCGTTGGGGCAATGCTGGTTCCAATCAAAGATCGGGGTCACAGCAGGCATCTTCCAATCAGTTTCAGTTCTTTGTTCGTTCTTAAGCCTCGAAAATGGAATGTCTCTATGTGTTTCTGTTACACATACGCATTCAATAACATTATGGAATATAATAAAGCTGATTCGTTAGCCAATATATTAGTATTCCATAGGAGAAGAAAACATTCTGTTTGCACACAATTCTTAATATTAGCTACGATCTACGAAGAGATCTACTCACTCAATCGAACTTCAATCAAATATTCAATAGAACTTTGTGTACTGTAAGCATGTAAACATAGAAAGGAAAGATCGTTTCTTTCATAATTTCATTAATTATTCATTAATAAATTGTATTTCAATCAAAGAGGAATTCCCCATTCTCCCGAATGGCCAGTCCATTTATTGTTCTTTGGACTTGCAACAATTTATAGACATTCATCGAAGGAGCTGCCTCCCTCCAGCAGAGAAGGAGACAACGGGCAGCTCCATTAACAACCTTTGTTTTGGTTTCATCTTCTCATATTTTTGAAGGAAGTGGACAATTAATGCAGCAATTCTGTAGAGGAAATGGCCAGAAAAGACAATGAAGTGATGACCATGGATGACCAGAACAAAGCCAAAAGCAATCTAGAAGATGTGGCAGAGCTTGGCGATGGACGGGGGCCACACCGCGAGTCGCCTATATAATTAGGCAGCGTCCAGTCCAACTGTCGGAATGTTACCGACGCGCCGCCTAATTGCCATCGCGTTGGGGGGATATCTGTGTACAGTGTACATGGGGGGATGTGGAAACAGAAGCAGGGAAACAACCGAGAAGAACAGCAGATAGAATGGAAAGGAAATGCCATAACAAGCCTCAAAATAAGTCTTCAGCAGAAGGGGAATGGGATACGCTTGTAAATTAAGCGTGAGAACTATTTAAATAAAAAAGAAATCTAAATTACAGGGGGAGGGGAGGGGTGAGTGGAGTGGAGAACAGCAGTAGTCCGCCGCATGGCAGCAGGAGGATGTTGGTGTTAGGCATGGGGTGTGCTGGGGTGTGGTGGGGGCATGCCACATGCAAGAGATACTGGAGACATATGTATCTACAAGTCACGTTTGTGTCTTGAGTCTTTTGTTATTGTTTTGCCACTCAAATCCCACTCATTCTATTCATTCTAGCACTCACCTGTTTCAATTGCCAATGCAATGTATCCACCTGATTCTGCAATATGACAGCCTCGACATTTAGTGAATGGTTTTGCTGTTGCTGTTGCGACGGTTGCGACGGTTGCGACTGATTGTGCTGCTGCTGTGGCTGCTGTTGCAAGTCATAGTGGTTGTGGTAGATCTGGCTCTGGTGGCTGTTGCTGTGGCAGCTGGGTGCGGCAGCTCTCATCGTCATGATGTGGCTATTGCTGCTGGAATCCTGCAAATGTTGTCACAAATAAATACATCAAATATTTATATGGCCATCGTCGTTCAATAATGCATAAGAAATGCGCGTTAAATTAGTTCAAAAATACAAAAGAAGAAAAAAACACAAAAAAGTAATGTGAAAAATGCTGTCCAAGTGTTGGACATCCACTCGGTGGAGGTCCAGTGGTGCCACCACATTTTCCAACGCTTTTCCATGCAGGCGGAATGTTTCGCCAAAAGCGGAAAGCAACTAAAACACAGCAAAAGTTGTACAATTAATTAGAGAAAATTATTTTTACGATTCCCCTGTGCGAGTCCCCTAGCCACCTCTTTTTCCCTCTCTATTTGCTTTATTAAATTTGTTTTTCTTTAGTTTTTTAGGTTTTTCGCTTTAGTTTTCGCTTTACTTTTTGTACATACAAAAAATAAGTTTCTGGTATACTTAAGAGCAGGGCAGGAGGGGCCAAAAACTCGTTTACGTCCATGTCTCATGTCCATATTTTCATATGACTTGCCTTTTATATTCGTAGAGTCGTAGCTGCTATAAGTGTCCGTCCCGTCGCGGTTTACTTTTTCTTTTACATCATTTTTTCAAAGACTTTGACCCACAACTCGAAAATTTGACAAAAAACGAGGGAGGCAGAGGAGGCAAAAGGCGTGTTGTGCAATCCAAACCCATTCTCTAATCAAATGTGATTTCCATCTCTCGCACATGTGCGTATTTGCTGCGAACGAACTCTATTTACAGGGTAGAAACTAGTGCAGAAAATATGAACGAGAAATTTGGCCAAAAAACAATCGAAATTTTTAGATCTCCATTACTCTCGGGCCATGTTGATGTAACATCTCTCTTGCACTCTCTGTCTCTGTCTCGCCCTCATCGCCCTGCCCCTCTAGTTCTCCAGCAGTAGCCAACACACAAAAATATGAATTTTCATCAAATTTTTTAATGTTGTTGTTTCTGTTGCTGCATCTGTTTAATGTTTGCCGCACAGCCAAATGATCATTTGCGGTTTATACAGCTGCCAAACACTGCAGCAGATCCCCCCTGCCCGTGTTTGTCGCACCCCTTTTGTGGTGCAGACAAATTTGTGGTCATATTCCAATTTCGGTACAATTTTACGCTTGTTAATTAATGTTTTTTTGTTTGGAATTGGTTTGGTTTTGATTTATTGGATTTGTTGGCTTATACGAGTTTAGAGAGACAACTGTGCGAACAACATTTTGCGGGGTGTTCAGAGGGAGACACTGCAGCAAGCGGTAGATGAAAAGTGGTGTTGGAGGGTAGAGTAACTGTGAGCAAATGGGCATTTTCGGATAATAACAATTTTAAAAATGTGCGAAATTCACGAATAATGTACAAATTGGCAGAACCGTTCTTTTGTTCTACCTTTAATACACACTCTCATTAATCCATTCTCGTCGAGTCAGGAAAAATGCTGTCAGGCCCCTTTGCACTTCATTCTCTTTCATAAGTTTGCATATGAGAATTTTCCCAGAGAATCTTCTTCTCCTTGTTCTCAATTCGCATTAGAATGAAGAAACCGAATCAACTATCGTATAGTTTTAATGCATTTCTGTAAGTTTTAATTGGGGTAAAACGGAAGACTGTAACGAAAAGTAGTTCAGCTTCCGAGACAAAAGACAGAAGATAATCGGGCTCTCTCTCCGCCCATGCAATCAGAAATCCATTTCCCAAACACTCTTTTAAGGCATAATTAGATGCAGATACATTCGAAGCACACACTCGTACGAGTATGACTATAATCTCCCACACCACACATTCCCCTGCAAATTCTTGACTCAAAACTAATTTGCATTCCCCCTGGAACTTCCTTCCACTGGAGTGTGTGTGTGTAGTTCTGGTTCTACAAACTAAAACAAATCTAATTTAAATTCGCAGACAAGCAAACGCTAAAGGCAGACGGAGAGAAAGAAATACGTAGCGGGCGAGGAGAAGACGCAGTACGACCTCATTCTAGCCAAGAATTTTGCTTTTGGCTTGGGACTGCTTTCGAGGCATCGTTCGAAGTCTTTCGAATGCCAACAAAATGAGATTTGAATCGCATTTGGAGAAATACAAATGTAGTGTTCAGAATCCAGAGTATACAGGAATATTTATCTACTCTTCCAGATCTCTCCTTGCCCTCCAATCTTTTTTGGGTCTTACGTTTTCGGATAAACCCGTTTTAGTTATACTTTTGAGACGCACTGTAGGCGCACAGCACCAGGTCAAAGAGTACACCCATTCGTTCCTCTTACCTTCCTCATCAAATGAGGGCTATTTATATTCAAATGAAATGAAATAAAGCCACAAGATGCAGGAATCTGCATTTCAAATCAGCAGAATACTGGGAAACAGCAACAAACAGTTGCATGCTCCAGTAATTTCCAACCAAAGTGAGGAGTACGGGGGCACTGGTAGCAGCGGATGCAACAAGTGTGCTAAAAAGGGTTTCCACATGTGGCAGAGAGAGAGAGCTGGCGGATTCCCAGGCCTCGGGCAACAGGAAAAACTTGCCTCTCGTCTCCCATTACAATTTCATCCACCAACAACAGCCCGTATACTCGTATCGAGGTCTGGCTGTCTCAGCGTGTGTCGTTGTGTCCCTTGTTTGATATTTAAATTGTTTTGTGTGCCAGAACCAAAACCAGCGAGAGAGGCAGTGCATTATCGGAGGCTCTGTGAAGGAGTGTTGTGTGGGGGGTCAAATGGCATTTCATGCATCGCTGGGAATACTCCCCGCATTCTCTTTACAGATTTTACACATTCATTTTTGTTCAACGATGTCACTCATTCGAAGTCCACTAAAGTTCGAGCTACTTTCCATTCTGTTCAGCTGTTGAGAGCTTGCAAAAATGCAACTAATTTCATCTCAAAATCCAAAACTATTCACACTCCAAGGGCCCCCAAAGTGTGCGACTAACTCGAATAAGGTCTTTGAGCTGAAGTTTGTATGCATTATCCACTCTTTGGTCACACACTTTGGGCTCTTTTGGACACACACTCAAAAATGTAAACTTCCTTTTGTGAGCGCGGCATGGAGGCGAAATTCGAAGGCAAAGACGCAAAGACAGAAAGAAAAGCTTGAAAAATGTGTCTTATGCCATTTATAACGAGGAGAGGAAAACTGTAATGAAGACAGCGCAGGGGAGAGAGCACAGGGACAGTTCATTCATTCATTCATTCATTCAGGGTACAAATTGCATAGATTTGTTCAACAATTTGTGGCGCTTTGCTGTCTCCGCCGCTGTGGCTGCTGCATTTGTTATGCTCTCGGTCTGGGAAGCTCGAACAGTACTTCGTAGTGGCATTGGATTTCGCTCCATCATTATCGTCATCTTCGTTGGCACTACGGGGACGGGAACAGTGGGGTCGGGGCGGAGGGAGCGATGATAATTGTCATTTGGATAATAGGTAAAGATCTGCAGATCTGCATTTGGCACGACTTTCCTACTTGGCAAAACCACCAGTAACACAAAACAATGACCAAATGTTCGAATTTGTGCTTTGCTTTTCGCACTGCCCAAAAGATCTGATGCCGGATTGCTGTTTATTATTATGGCTTATGGCTTTGTGGCTTAGGAATCTTCTCTTTCCTTAGTTTCTGAATATTTGTTGTCACTCTGTGGCACGGAAATTGGGTTAATTTCCACACACAATAAAACTTTATTTCGGATTTCCTCTCCTCTCTCTCCTCTACATTTGAATGTTGCGTGTCGTTTGCATCGTGTTCCGTCAACTGGAACTGTTTTTGATACAAAAAGCAAAGGCCATGCCATTAAATTGTTGCCAATGATTGAAGATGGGGACGGGGACGGAGCTTTGCAGCGGAAGATGGAGGATGTGGACGTGGATGGATGTCTGTCAACATATTTGACCTTCAAGCTTGGGCTTGGGCGACTGATTACCTATGCCTCCCCTACCTATATTCCCCCTTCCCACCATTACGACGACAATCGCAACCGACAGTTGAACCACAATCGACGCGACAGCAATCGCGGCAGAAGAAGAGACCTGTGGCTGCTGTTTTGTTTGTTGTGTAAACTGATTTTCGGTTTAAGCCATTCCCGTGGTGGTACTGAAGCGAAAGAGCGGGAAAGAGATAGAAAGGGTAGCGTATGAAGTACAGTCAGGGGAAGAGGAGGGACTTCGGGCTAAATGAATTTCAAATGGACCTCTAATGGGGCCTGACCGCGGCCCTTTAGGCCCTCATTGTTACACTTCCTCATTGTCTGTTGTGCCTGTTGTTGGGCCCCACCACTCAGCCCCTTGTGTGTTTGTGTGTGTGTGTGTGTGTGTGCTGGCACGCCTTCCATTGTTTGTGGTACCCCTTTACGCACAATATATTTCAATTGTTTGATCTTTGGAGTCATTTGGGGGCATGAAAAAAAAAACCAGAAATTTCAGTTGAAGGAAAAATAAAAACTATTTGATTCCGGATTTAGTTTGGAATTTGGGGACATTTTCAGAGGAAGAACCTCGTAGTAACTGGCAACTTACTAAGATTTCCATTAGCTTTTTATGTTTTTTCATATTGTTAAAGAATTGTAGATTCTTTTCGTATTTCTCTAAGAATACTAAGGCTATTTTTATGGATAAAGATCTCTTCAGAAATCTTTAATCTGCAGATACATTTTGTGTCGCTCTACATATTCAATGTTGGCTGGCAATGCTGGGACAGCGCCGCTCCCCTTGGGGCACATAAAGTGTCTTACAGGAAAGTTACAGCTGAATTTGCGGACACTTGAGAGTGTCGAGAGAGAGGAAGAAAGAAATCAGGCAAAGGGATTGGACCATGCCGTCGATTCGATTAGAAGCACTGAACGCCACAAAGTCCGTTCTAATGAACGGACCCGACCGACCACCAAGCTCCAAAACAGCCCAAAGCACTGGATGCCAGACTGAGTGAGTGACTGAACTGACTGGCTGACTGAATGACTGCTTCAGACACTGTTCCTTTTGGCCAAGTTGTGGCTTTCAAGTGGCTTTTGGCCAGAGAATTGCGCGATTCGAGATGTTGTTTCAATCTCTTTTTGGAAGCAGAATTCAATTTTCATCACTTGATTGAGGCGTGAAAACGATTCAACGCTCATTGACCTGTGCCATTTGATCAAAAGTTTTTCGGTATTGGCTAGGTTCTCCTCTAGCCACTGACCTCCTCTAGCCTGGTGTAGACTGGTGTAACCTGTAGTTTAAAGACCTTTTCCGTTCCCTCTATAATATTATTCCAATAAGCCATTGGCCTTCGCTGACCAGAGCGAGGCAGATGGGAATCGGCTGTGGATCCCTCCCATGGCAGAGAACGGAAATGCAAAGCGACAGAAAGACGAAAGGCGGAAAAGTGAGCAAAGAGCGGAACAGGAAAATTGTGAACGAACGTACGAACGTACGAACGGACGGGGCAACGGGCAAGAGAATGCTTTGGGTCTGGCCAGAACTCACAGAACAGAATAAAGCCCACGTTCTGTTGCTCTACCTGTCGGGAAGAAGAAGGAAGGGCATTCAGTGGCAGTGGCAGGGTAATTACATTCCCTTCCTTATTGCAGTTTCAGTTTCTCGACTCTGTGCTTTATTACGTCAGCGTCAAATGTTTTGAGCCACGTTAGTACCCACCCATTTTTGGGTCTCTGCATACTTTATGGTCAAAGAGAATTCTTTTCACTTTCTAAATGCAATAGTTAGACCGGGATTTAAATCTGTTTTTCGTGGTAGATGCTGATTTTGAGGAGACTTTTTAAGGGGATGTAATGCAGTTATTATCTTAGTGAAGGAAGAGGCAATGCTTTAGCTTCACCATTTATTCTGTTAGCTCGCTATTGGAACTCCCACGTGACAGTAATCCTATAATTCCGGAGACGGACATGTAGCACTACTTTTAACATTTGAAATGATCAATAACGCTGACTCTGCCTATTCCCTGAACTCTCCCCCCTCGAATTCTACTTTACTTTGTGGGTAGAATGGAGTACTTGGTGGCGTTTGCTTTTCTGCTCACCAATTGAATAATCCACTCAGCACCTAGCGGCAAACGGCAGAGAATTATTCACAGTTATAGGCATTTGCACGACCGTTCCCCATGTCTGTCTCCACACCCCTCCATGACAGCCTTCACCACAGCCACTGCCGCCTGGTGGCACGTTCTTTTTAATTTTCTGATAACTACAAATAGGTTCGACGTTCGACGTTCGTCAGTTCCCTTCGTTCCCTTCTACGACACTCGTGCTGCAGCAGTTATTTTACCGCTGCTCTGTTCTGCTCTGCTCTGTCAGGGCACGGGGCTTCAGGGGGAGTGCATGGGGGCAGAGGTATGGGGACGCCCTCCGCATACCAGATGAGGGTGCACAAGCTCCTCCGTCGACTTCGCGAGCTTCGAGCCAAGATTTCAGACACGACTTTTGTTCGTCTTCGATTCAGTTCTTCTGTTCTTTGGAATACCCTTACGGAGGGGGGAGGACGGGTATCATGGTTTGGATCAAGTATTTGGCAATGCAGAGAATGATTTTATTGGTGCTCAAGGTACACATGTCCCCGAAGTATTCATTGTGTTTATTCTTAAATGCAATCAAAATCGAATGGGCACAATCGAACCTGTGCAGAAGGTAGGGTATCATTGGTTCCATCTTAATTTTTATTGTTCTTTTTTGGGCTTCGTTTCGGTTTGGGAACCATTTTATTTATGCGCCGCTTGAGGCTGCCTCATAATTCAGTGCGAGAGGGTGATGCGATGGGGCAACATCAATTTCGCGGCTGCCACAGGAATTTCCCCCACTCCAACGCTCCTGAAAATGCAATTTAATTGAAGAACAAACTTCTCTCCCGTTTTTCGCCTCTCTGCCTCTGTCTTTTGCAGTGGAGCTACAGAATGTCGAGGATTTCTAGTCCATTCCATTACATTAGCTTCAAGGTCATTCACACAAAGTGGGGACTGGTATAAGGGGGGAGTGGGAGACACATTTGCGCGCTCTTCACCAAATGATATTCATTTGCATGAGATTCATCCATTTTTCGACTTAAAGCTTCACGTAAAGTTCACGTAGATCGGACACTTTTTACCCATGATTTATCCAAACACGCGATCCGCTGGGAGCGGATTACGTATTATATGTATATGGCTTTTACATTGTCTCTATTTTGGTCAGAATTCACTCCTTTTTGGCAGAGTTTCAGCGGGGTTCAATGCACTAAATCGCAAATCAAATCAGAGTTCATTCGGATACCGAAAAAGGTGAGAAAAGCGATTTAAACCAGACGAAAATCTCAACGGAGTGGAACAGATGGATCCTATGATATACGATTATTGTAGGAGGCAGGTGAATGTGTTTCGAATGGGGGGTTGTTATACAGGTGAAAACATTCAAATATGATTTGCTCAGACGTGAGAAAAAAATACGAGATCTTAAAGGTATCTCCGCTTAACCTGAAAACTCCAAAATAAATCCAATTACAGTTTTTGCTAACAAAAAAAAAGCAATCAACCGCAAGATCCAAATCGTAAGAACCGAAATTCCCCCTCTAATAGGATTTCTATCTTCGGGTATACGTTTATCCATCTACTGCGCATTCCTACTCCGAAACACACACCTTTAATGTAAGACTTTCAAGACCCGACGCGGTCCGAACCGCAGCACTCCCTTAATCTGTCCATAAAGGCCGCCTGATGACTTTCCAACCAAAATAACATAATGATAGCAAAACCAAGATATATTATGCATAAGAAGGAGAAGAAAAACAACAAGAAAAACATATTACATAATAATTCTTTTTTATGTGTCGTTTCGCTTGGATTTTCGTTGTTGCTTTGCCGATTGCAAAAAATGTATTGTAAACATCTTGGAAGTGTTTTTTTTTAAGCGATTCCATTGGACACTCCGTCCTCCTCCTACCTCTTTCCATCCATATCTATCTATCCCTCTCTAGCCGTGTCCAACTTTACAGCCTGTCTCTGTTGCTCCACGACTCTTTTTTATGCTTGAAAAATTGGGACAGCAATTTGCACGCCGCTCACTGCAGCAAAGGCAGGGGGTAGGCAGGGGGAAAAACTGAAATATGTTTTTGATTCTAACGGAAGTTGTTGCTGCCGCGGCCGCGGCCGCTGCTGCTGCTGCTGCTGCTTGCTGGTGGCCCACTCGCTCGCTCGCTCTTGGCCAGCTTCTGGGTCTCTTTGGGGCTGTCGCCTGATGACCCATTGACTAATTGGCTAATTGGCTAATTGCCTCTCCGTTTAATTGCCTCTCCACGCAGACATTCAATGGGAATCCAGAGAGGAGAGGCGTAGAGGTCAGGAATTTGTTTGTTAATTTTAATATTTTTCAATTTACATTTTATGTGTGGAACGAATGCGTCTGTGGCAGCCTCTGTGGCATGCGACGGGCTCATTAGCGCTTTAATTCTGGCCAACAGCAGAACCACACCAGAATATTAATGAATTTGTTCGTGTTGGAGTACTACAGGAACACACAGGAAGTGCAGCTGATTGCGATTGTGGACTGGATTAGGGGATTGAATAAAAGAATAGATTGCTGGATAGCATCTTCAAGAGGGTTCCTCATCATTCCTCTTCATTGGCATCCAATAGGCATCTTTTCTCCATCCACAAAGCTTTCATTCCCACATTCTAGAAATACCTCTTGCTCTCCTCTCCGCGAGTGTGGTAGAACTAAAACTTTTCCACGCAAGAATCTCAGTGAAAGTCTGCACTAGAAGAGCACTAGATACACGGATGCACGGATACACTTGTTGTTTTGCAACTCAATTCATGAGATACTTTTCAGCCACAGCAGCAGCAGATACTCGTTCGGAGATACAGATACATTTGGAGTAGAAGCAGCAGAAGCGGCAATTAAAATATTGTGCAGGGGGCATGTGGCAGCTGATTTATGTGTGCCACGGAAAGGGACAGAGTTGCAAAAAACTAAATTTAAAGAGCTCTCTCCGTCCCTCTCGCTCGCTCCCTTCTCCTCTCTCTTCCGCACAGCTACAAATGCAAATTGTGTGTAATTTATGTCGCAGCCGAAAAAGTTACTCGTCGCAGAAGCATACCATAAATTCCATGCAGCAAAGTGGGGAAATACGAGCTATAAATGTACGAAATAACTACTACGTTACGTGCCCCACGCTCTACCCGATCCCCTCCCCCTTTGCTGCTGCCACTAGAGCTGGCGAAATGTGATACGGAATGATTAATTTGATACGAGAATAGGGCCTAGAGCGGCGGCACACTCGTACTTCCAGCGTCAGCATCCGCTGCCAAGTTTTGCTTATTAGTTTGTGCATCTCATAGATACAGCTCCCCGCTGTGTGCATCGGTGTATTTATGTAGTGGTGTCTGTGTCTCTCTGCTGCAGGCTCTGGTGACGACTAGTGCAACACGTTGCATGTCAATGGCCATAATTAAGCATGCGAAAACGAAGCAAATGAAAACAATGCGGGCAGGTCTCTCCATCTATTTGGCTCTCCTCCTTCTCCTTCTCTCTCTCTCTCTCGGTCTGTTTTTCCTGTGCATTTTCCTGGCTGCTCTGTTGGCCATTTTCATTAATGGTCTGGTGTGGGCTGGGGGCATGCCGCATGCATTGTGGGGCACACAACCTCCCCGTCGCCTACTCTGTTGCTGTTGCTGTTGCTGCTGCCTCATTGTTTTGCCTTTCGCATTGTTTGGCCGTATTTTGATTTGAGCCACAGCATCCATCCAGCAGCAGCCCCTCTAGATATCCCGGGGCTATCATTATTTCAATGTTTCTCTCTGTCTTCTCTTTCTATTGTTCTTCTAACCCCCGCTCCGTCTCTACGTCGCTCTCTATCCCTGGCTGCTGTGTGTTTTTGCAGCCTCGACTGCCGAGGGAGAGGGCGATCTTCCGTATCCTGTGTCATTTTTCATCCTCCCACTCAATGCCACTCCCTCATGCTCCAATTCTGGTATCCACCCATTGTCCCTTGACCTTTATAAGCTCTTCTGTTGACCCTAATTGTTGCCTGTTTTCCGTTTTCTGTTTCTCTTCTTGCCACAAACTGAAAACTGAACGATTTTTAAGCCTTCAAATTTGTTTTCGAGTATTTGCAAATGCGAGAAATGAGAAATGAAAATTGCGAAAAATTTCCCCTTGAAGCCATAGCGTGGGCGAAAAACTTTAAGAGGGAATGAAAATTAGGCATTTCCGCTTCAAGTTGTTCTTTACCTGCCTTTTTAGAAGTTCTTAAGAATGGTTTTCACACGCTGCAATCTTTTTCAGTCAACACACAACTTGAGCTTCTCCCCACCTTCGCCCCCTCTCCCTCTCTCTTGCCCACTGTGGTATCTATCTCGCTCTTGCCTAGCCACAATTTTCAAAAGCTTTTTGGCCTAAACGTTGTTAATTTATGTAGTTGTTACGCTTCAGATCCTCGTACGAGTTAAGCCCCGAGCCCCCGAACCCAGACAGTGAAAAAAATCAACAGCAACAAAAATCAAATCTAGATAAAATATAAATCATTTTTATAACGAAAAGAGTTATGTGAGCAACAAAAAAAACACAAGCAAGTTTCACCAAAAAGAAATAAGGAAAATGCACAAGGAAAGAAAGAGGGTGAGAGCGCAGTAGATGGGGGAGAGAGCAGCAGGGAGAGTACACCGTCATTTATGGTGTCTTCCAGCATTTTAACATGTGTAATGGGAGTAGAAGAATGATACCCAAAAGAAGAAAACTGAAACAAATGAGGAAAGAACGCCGAAGTGCGTTGTTTTTGTAGAGGGTCTCTTTTTTTGTCACGACTTTGTATTACGACTATTCATATCATCGTTACACATCGGCGCCACCTTGCAATGGAAAGCTTCAGAAGAGACAGGGTATCTCCTACTCGACCCTCAAAGCTCTATTTTCCACTCTTGCTTGTATTTGTTGTCGAGTTTAGAATTTATTATTTCCGCCAGCTTGAAGCTTCGTAAACTCCCTTTTTAATTCGCTGTACAAAAAAACAGTTGACAAGCAGCGGAAGGGTACAAGAGAGTGAAGGAGAGACAGAGACAGAGGTATGGGCAACAGGTATGCATGCGCAACGCTTAGCATTCGCAGTCGCTGCCTATGGGGGTGGTCGCTGGAGGGGAACGCCGCGGACCAAACGCAGCGAAACGCGTTCACTGCGGCTTTTCGGGGGCTCTTTTTCTCTTTGTCTCTTCTCCCTCCTCTTCTACAAATTTTGTTCGTCGATGTTTTACTTTAATTTCGGTTTACTTTATTGTTGTTGTTGCTCATATTATTGTTGCTGTTTTTGTTGTGGCTGCTTTTCTGTTATCGGCGCAATTCCGCCTTTTTCGAAATTTGCTGCTCTGCTGAGCGTTTTGTTGCTGTTTCTGTTTCTGCTTCTCGTTTTCGTTGTTATTGTTTTACACTTGATGAACGCACCCCACCCCACCCCACCCCCTCCCACCCTTCCCGAACCAACCCATTCCCAACATCATCCGAAATGCAAACGGAAAGAGTGCAGAATGAGGGGGAGCAGCAGAGAACTTGTCTTCCACTCCCTCTCTCTTCCCACCACTTGCTTTTTTTATATAGAAAATTATTTTCATGGTCTAGCAGCTTCACGCTTGAGCACTGTAGTCCTTTTATTTGCGACACCAGTGTAACTAAAGAATTCCGTAATGATTCTACAGGTGTGCACAATATTCATTCAAGCAGTGTGCTAGCTCTTAACCAATGTGCACCTTTTCTTCACCAGCAGTGTGGCACTTATTAGTTTTCTATCCCATCTTAGATGCAGAGCAGAGCTCGAAGCTTAATCTTCCTTCTACCTGGTTTTCCATGGTGGTAAATCCTTCTTTGCCACCAGTGTAGCCACAAGTGTATACTATGCGAGCCGTCACTGTAGCCTATGGATCCATCAATTCCCATCAATTTTCCCATTTTTTTCTTCAAATAAACAACTACAAATAGATTCATATCTTTTCCGAAAATTTAAACAAAATAATGTTATAGCTTTACGCTAGTGGGAAGTGCGAAAAATCAGGAATATAATAGAAAATCGTTGAAAAATTTGTAAATTATTAACACGGAATTTATGATCCTCTTTTGATGAATTGAGTTATAAATGAAAACGAATTAAATGCAAAATGTATTAAAGTGCTGCTTCCCTCCCTCCTCTCCTCCGCCAGAGTTTTCACAATTTTCCAAAACAGTTTTATGGCTCCTCTTTGCTAGTGAGGCACTGGCCAACTCCATCATTTCGTCAAAGTGCCCCCCTTTGATGGCCAGTGATGGCAAGTCTTTCGATGGCCAAAGCAAATTGTATGACTAAACCACTTTGCTCAGCCTCCTACTCTCCCTGACTTGGCCAAGAGGCCTAAACGCAAATAAAAGCTGACCAAATCAAGGGGAAAACCAATCTGGGGGCTGGAGCCCCACAGTCCTCCATCCAGTGGACGCAATTTATATCAATGTGTCAATCAGAAAGAGAGAAAGAGAGAAGCAGGCGGAAAAAGAGGGGAAGAGAGAGAGAGAGTAAGAGATGGTAAGATGACCAAATATTATGGCCAAATAGTTTCCGGCTTGGGAAAATGCTGGCTAATGAGAGGCCAGACGCCAGATGCCAGCCGCTCGATGAAAGAAGATTTCACGATCAAGCCAAAACGCAAAACGCAAAATGCAAAATGCTCTGCAACGAGCGAGTCAGTCAATCAGTCAATCAGCCACTCTGTCAGTCAGTCAATCAGTCGTTTCAGTCCATCATTCACGTTGTTAGTCGCTGGCTTCGAGTATTGGCCAAGTAGAGAGCCAGAGCCAGAGCCACGAGTCACAATGGAATGTGGCCAAAAACAAAAAATGATGCCACAGACAACAGACAACAGACCACAGACACGACACGAAGCTCCGCTTAAAATATCTTAGAAAATATCTTACGGTTATTCAATCGTTAGAAAATTACTCACATTGTTTCGACGAAAAATCACACTTCGAGTACCGGGTATAAAAAAATAACGAACATTAATTTATTATTATGATTCCTTCTTTTTATTTGGGATTCGATTTAATGCGAATGCACTTTTCATTCATTGCATCTTCTACATGAGCACTTGGAGGGGGATATGTACATACCTACATACATACATACATACATGCATATGTACATGAATAAAGTATGAATAAAACATTTACAAGCCACAAAGTTAACCCATTTCTTGGCGCATTTATCTATCTTATATCTTCTTTTTTGCACGAGTTGGCTATAAATAAATATCACACTTATTTCTCTCTCTCTCTGTCTCTCTTTTGGGGATTTATATGTGCATAAGTGGGAGCTGTCTTGCGGGCGACAGGATTGTGCAGGGGCAATCAACTCCCTTCCCATGCGTTCGGTGTGTGCCCGCCACAAGTGCACAAAAATCAACAGAAACATTAGTTTTCCACACACGCTTCCCGGGATTCGGGATGAGGCCAACTTGGGAGTTGTCTTTCGACTGTCCGGTTATCTCGAAGAATAAATGGAGCAAAAGTGTCTGCTCTTTCCATCTATGATTAATTTAAACTTCCAGCAATCATCTGTCAGAGTATTTCATGTCTCCCCTTTTCATAATCCATTTTTTTCTTCATTTCTGTAATATTTCGTTGCAACCTGGGGCCAAAGTGGCGTCTGCACTTCTCAGTGGCCCCTTCCGCCTTTTGGACTCTTCATCGCATTGACGATTGAAGAGCAGATGGAATGAATGGACGGGAGAGTGCTCTCCCTATAGAGTCCATCCATCCATCCATCCATACATACATACATATGTACATACGTATATGTAAATTGCAGAAATGATGGCTGTGATGAAGATGATGATGCCATAGCCAGGGGATTTCTAACAAAGTGTTTTTCATCTGCGGAAAATTCCCTCCAGCAGTAAATATATCTGAGTGTGAGTGAAAATTTGCATAAAGTGTGAAATGTATGTACATATGTGAACTAAAAGTTCATTCCAGGAGGAGGTTTCCTTTTAAGCAGAAAAGCAAACAGAACTAAAATCGTGTTCCATCATTTATTTTGGTATCGTTCCACCTTATTATGCTGTGAAATCACCCTTCAATTAGTAATAAATGCCGTCGATTAGACAGAGCGACAAATACTAAATGATGGCTAATACAAGTAGCACCCACAGTGGTTCGGTCATGGTCTTATAATTTCTTTAAATGAAGACATTTCTGTGTACCATTTTGGCTGATATGACAATCTTTAGGGTAAATGGAGTCACCAAATGACAGCCAAAGATGATGATATAATAGGGGCGTGCGAGGAAGGGAGGCAAAGGCAAAGAAAGGGCCAAGACCCAAGGCTAAGATACAAAACAAACTAAAGCCAGAGATGAGGAGCATCTCTTTGGAGTTCAATCGATTCCCAGCGAATTGGCAATTCCTACTACTACTTTATGGCAACCAGAGAGATGTTGGATAATCATCCCCTTCCCCTCCTTTCGTGAACGTAAGGTCATCTGAATTTGACTTCTATTCACGCCTGCATCGTGCCACAACTAGAGACAGCGGTTGCAACAGCTGTCAACACGCAACGCGAACTTCGACTGCGGTTTGTTGTTGTTTTCCTTTGGTTTTCCATACCACAATTGAAAGTAAAAAGCCAATGCAATGAACTCTCCTCCCTGGGAGGATGGTGCATGCAACAAGACTCCTACACCCCCAGGGGTAGCCTGCCACACAACCAACTGCAAGAGCCGCTACGGGGAAAGCTGCCACAAGCGGCAGCTGCGTTAGAAAAATTCAAATTATGCGACAACGAAGCCACAACAGAGCGAGGAGCAGAGCGGGAGGCAGCAGCAGCAGAGCCAGAGCCAGAGACCATTCAAGCGTGGCCAAGAGGCCACCACAAGCAACAGGCAACAAAGCATCGAGCAAGCGACAATATCAAGTGACAATCATAAAGAAAAATAAAGAAAATAAAAATAATAATAATAATAAACTGCAGTGGCTGCTGTTGCTGCTGCTACTTTTTCTCATTACGATTTATCGGCGTCTATTAAAGCCGCAAAATCTTGGCGACATTTCGTAATGAGGCTTGCAACCGGGGGGAATTTGAGAGGGAAGGAGGGGGACGCCACTCGGGCGGGTATCCGATGGCCAGTAAGAGCTTTTGCATTTGGCCACAAGACACAAGACAAAAGGCCATAAACTTGTTGATTGTTTGATTGTCTTTCGTGGTTGCCATGGAGAAAAGCCATTGCAAAATTGAATTGGAAGGCTGTCCCCACCCCCTTCCTTTTCAAAGCACGTCCCTCTGCTTCCAGGTCCCCCCTCTTCTTTTAACAATCATTTAAATTTGGCCTAACCTTTGCACGCATTCGGTTTTTTTTGATACGCCCTAATGAATGCTTTTGGGCCTAACCGTTTGTATGTATTTACATGTATTCGTATATGGAGAAACAATTCTTTGGCTAATTACAGTTTAGGCCTCATAATAGAGACCTCCTAGACCTTGCTGGAAGTTTTCGTTAAACAAAAAGTTTTGATTGTTTATTTTCGAATTTTCAACAATTCGAAGTATTTTGATTGGTACTTCAGAAGGTCAAAGGTGGATGGAATTTATAAACTGTTGAGGAGGCGAATGTTCGAACAGTTGTACAAGAAACAACGGAAAGCATACAAAGAAAACAATAATTTGACCTAGAGATTACTCTAAACCACGGATGGATTGAAAACTTGTACATTTGTACGTCTTCACCCTCTCCTCTTCTTCATTGTTTGCACTTAATTGAAACACTTAATAACTGTTACATATTTCACCTCTCCATCACAAAAATATGTACATATGTACACACATAAGTATGCACATATTCATGCATCTCCCCTGAAAGCCCACACGTACATACACACTCACGCACACACATGCAACCAACACACTTTTTCGCAAATAAATCATTAAGTGACCTTAAATAAATGTGAAACGAAAAAACTGTTGTCATGGAATGGTCACACCAAAAAGGAGATCTGTACAGGACAGCAAGGGGGGAGTGAAGAGGTGCCCCCCAGAGAGGCGGCGGCTGTCAAGGCTACGTGACAAACAACAACAACAACAACATAAATACATACAATGACATAAATATCCAGTTGCTCCGAAAAAGGAAACTAAACTTTTTTCTCTCTCCAAGGCAACATGACAAGTGGAAGGGGGGGGGGGGGGGGGGGGGACGCTTGCGCGCGGAAATAGGATAGAAATAAACAGAAAAAAGACTCACTCCTACTGCGTGGCGAGCTACATACAAGGTTCTCTCGCTTAGTGG